CATGAGTATTCAGAACATTCTTCAAGGCTTTTGCTTCAGCATCCAAATCTGATATGACAAAAAGGTTTAAGATTGTTAATTAAAAACAGCCAGTCATTGGACGGCAAACCACAGACTTTGTGGATATTTAAAATGACAAAACAAAACTTTCTTGCAAAAATGGTAGTCTAACCTGTTTTAGAATTTCCAGATGATTTAACACATTCTTTAGTCATCATGGTCATGATAAAATGCTATAGTAGTATAGGTTATGATTAAGAAAAAAGCCATCTAGAAATTAAAGTTGTAATCCAGGCCCTGAGAAGGGCCCAGTAACCAATTTTACTCTTTAAATCACAACCTCATCATATAAGTTTCACATCAGTTGCAAAACTGGACTGTGTCATACCCAAATCAGTCACAAATATACAAACAGACAGAAAAATGGGGAGTAATGGTGGTTACCCTTTTTAGTACAATCAGACACTTCTTCGAAGAGGTATAAAAGCATGTGATATGCTTCCTGTTATTCCTTCTATTAGTCATCAACTTCTCTCTCTATCGAGTCATCAACTTCTCTTCTGGGAACCCCTTCAAGGACATCGTCGAAGGGGAAGACCACATCTCACATACATTGACATCCTTCGGAAGGACACGGGGCTTGACGACAGCAAAGAGATTAACAAACTCATGCTGTATAGACAGATTTGGAAGAAGACTATTTCTGTTCGGACGCTGAAGCCGCCCTAAGTCGAGTTATTCCTTCTTCCCAGGTCGTAAAGGGAGTCACGATTTAAGGGGGCCGGGGGGGGTCTTCATCAAAATTTTCTCGAAATCGACTTTATAGTTGTTTCTGATAGAGGGGAGTGATATCTATCAGCTGCTTTTGATCCCATGGAAAAATATTATTCCTAGCCGAAATCATCGCCGGTCTAAGGTCAGCGCTTATGTGTAATTGTATTGCGCGAGCGATTTTCAATCGCGAATTCTGAAAATCGAGTCTAAAAATCTATCTTCTCCCACATTTTTTGAGCGATTACCCTGAAACTTTCAGGATATGTTCTAGGGACCATTTAGAAGAGATCAATCATACAAAATTTTGAGATAGGCCTTTAAACATTTTGTATTCAATTTTGAAAATCTTGGACCTCAAAAAATCGTTTTAAAAAACTGCACGTTTTGCTCTAGAATGGGGGGGGGGGCAACATGCAACGTTACGCCACTGTAAAGAGGAGGGGCCATCTGAAGATAATATACAGTGGTTTTAAGTTGGTGCTTAGGAGTATTTCATCCTTTTTGTTTATATTGAGAACAGATTTGTAGTGTAAAATCAGAGATCCCATGTTTTATTCATGTTGTAACTCATGTAACAAAACTCAAGACCAGTGCACAAGATCGAAGGGGCATGCTTCAGTACACGCTGTTTTAATCATAGTCAAGTAAGGAATAATGATAATGTCATCACAGAAAGAGAATACGTACACAATTTGTAATTTAATGTAATGGAGCTAGGCTTAATAAATCTGCTCATGGACTACAGTTAGCAATTGAGTGCACCTCTTTCTTTCACAAGATGCGAGAAACGAAACCTGTTTCAATATTGGGTACTGGAAACGTGGAAATGAAAGGATAATTTGAACACCCTGTCTTCTTTACAACAGAAGGCTCAGGACCAAACTGCACCAAGGTCGTAAAGCGGGTAGTAGCTAAAATATGAAAACAAGACTTCGCTTCTCTCTACTTCAGAGCGTCCTCATGAGGGGTTGTTTTCTTGAAATTGTTGTTTTCTTGGTCAGGGGAAAGCAATTTACAGGCAGCTGTAATAGGCGATAACGATTCAATAGACATTTACCTGGCACAGCAGTCCCTGTGCCATGCGCGGCGCTCTTTTCAAGCTTTCTGAACGTGAGAAAAGCAAGCAATAGACTAGCAAGCTAGGTAAAATAGACATCAGCTAATTGGACACTAACTATACTATGTACTTAGTGTCCAAGCAACCGCCCTTATTCTGAAATACTAGCTAGGTATCGACCCAAAAGCAACCAAAGGGGTTTTTACAGCATGTGATTGATGATGAGTTTTAATACTTTCAACACTACTATATGACAAATAATTTGAGTAAATGGCATTCAACATGGCCGCTGTATTACTGATGACGGCTGCTTAAAGACAGACGAAACTGTAGTATAAAAAGCTGCTGAAAGTGTGACGAATTGGGATTTATTTGTTGTTTTTTCTGAATCTGGTGTAGTGTCAGTAACTCGTAGTGATGTATGATTTCTAGAAACTTTAAATTAAATTTGGCGCTCACAGGTATCATGATCATTCACATAGCCATGTGTCTACGCTACTGCAAGCGAGAGGGCTCTGGTTAGAGCAATCATGATCATGTGATCGCCGCATGAGGTTCTGTAAATGCGCAGGGCACCTTCGAGCATATATTATTCACCTTACTGAGGCAGTCAACCAACGCGCGGCTTTATTTTTATGATATGATATGTTTTGATTGTTATTAATAAATACCAAAATCAAAAATTTTAATTTGTTTTTCTAAAATTTGTTTTTCTATCATTTCTTTATTGGCTTTATTGAAATGATGAATGGTCCAAAGAATGTGATAGATGGAATTAATCAAAACTTATTAAAATTAATAAGCCGTCATGAATGAATGGGGAAAAATTTCTTTGATTGCATCACTTGACTTAATTTATTGTATATATATTTTTTGACACATTTGTCATGATTAAATTATGAGATCAGTCCACATCATGCTATATGAAAGTATTTCGGGATAAGGATGGTATAAGTAAATGACCAATTAGCTGATGTTTAATGAATTTTATTGCTGAGTACAGTTGCCTTCGACTAGACTGCAGCTATAGGATGGTTTTTAGCGCTAATTTCGGCCAGCACAAAATTCTTGAAACAAATGCATTTTGGGCAACCTTCCCTCGATTCAATTTTGACAAAAATTGGTTACTGCTATACAAGGCACAAGGAAACTGTCCGAACACCGAACAATTTTTCAATCTGGGGCTTATCCAATCATCAAACATTATGTTACATGTTACAGTTGATTCACGATGTCAATCCTTCGCAGCTCGGCGAGGCCCAATGGTGCATTTCGCCGATCTACCGCGAGAAGAATTATTGGATGCGCGGCGCGGCCCAGTAGTGCATCGCGCTACAATATTACAGCTGATCAAAGCAACGCCTTTTGCCCCATTTTATTACTTAATTATACTTTGTAGCGCGATGTTGCTCTATCATCTATCCAGAGCCCTTGCGCTTGCAGTAGGGCGCGCCCGCCTCACGGCGGTAAAACTCTTGACTTGTGAAACAAGCGCGCCCGAAGTGGCGTGAAAGCACATGGTTAGGTGAAGCGCGATGCACTACTGGTCATCGCCGCGCATCAAATAATTTTTCTCGCAACCGTAGATCGGCAAGATGCACCACTGGGCCGCGCTCAGCCTGTCATTCCTTGTATCACGTTGCGACCCCCACGGTCGTTTCACTATGGTGATACAGGGGGAGCCGCGCACTTCGTGCGCGGCGGGTCATACAACGTATGACAAGTCATTCCGTTGACGGATGTTACTCGTCTAAATTTCTTCGAAGTAGCGCGCGCCGCTTTCTTGCCCGACGGCAAGTGCTACGAAGTAGCGCGCGCCGGGCCAGACCATTAACAATGGTCAAGTCATTCCGCCGAATATAAATTTTTAGCTTTATTCGGAATCTCTATTATGTTTATGAACATGATAGCCTGATGTCCCCAGGTAACACTGGGCCTCGCCGAGTTGAGACACAGGGGGGCTGAAACCAGGTTTTGACATCGTGAATCAAAATTATACTATAATATCAACTCCAATATCCACCAAGTTCTTCGGACAATTTTTGGCACCTAGGCGAAAACTCACTGATCATTTCAAATTAAGGTATGACAGATTTGGTATTGTGAGAAAGCTCGAACATTCTCTAGAAAACAATATGCAATAGCAATACCGAAATTTTACAGTTTTTACTGAATTTCTCACCCGCAACTGCAATTAGTCAGTCACCTATAGATGGCATATGACACACTTGAGGTGCTGGAAGTTTGGTTTAGGTCGGAGGAAGCTCACAGCAGAAAGCTTAATAAAACGAATATTTCATATTTGCATTTTCCAACTTCTGTCCCATTTTCAGTTTTGAAAATTTCTCAACACAAATTAGACAGATTTGAAGAACTATTTGCCCAGAAACCGATATACGCCACGATTGAGGTGCTGGAAATTTGGTTTCGGTCGGAGGAAGCTCACAGCAGAAAGCTTAAAACTGGAAGTCAAACTCCCGAAGAAAATTGCAAAATCATATTGTCCCATTTTCAGTTTTTGAAGATTAAATTTAAAGGACCGAAATTTTACAGTTTTTACCGGATTCTTCTCAACTGACCAACCAGTCAGTAAACTATGGTATTTATTGTATCACGTCGTGACCCCCATTGTCGTTTCACGATAGTAATGTTTCTCGCTCCTACTAAATCGCTCGCCCAAATTTTAAGAAAATTCTTGTGAAAAGGCCCTTTAGGCATGAAAGAGATTTAAATAGGTGTATTTTTGGACGCTGATTCCGAATCACCCCCCATGACGTAGGGTTAAAATGCTTCCCTGGAGAGTTATGGGCAAAAAACCGTTTTGGTCACGTGACAGACTAGTAAAACGTGAATTCGATTATTTAGGGCTCGGGTTAGGGTTGTGGTTAAGATTATGGATAGCTTCGGGGTTATGGTTAGGGTTAGGGTTGGGATTAGGGTTTATGTAAAACCGTTTTGTACGGCTGCAAAACCAAAAAAACCAAAGTCACGTGAAATTTTTGGGCGAGCGATTTAGTAAGAGCCAATGTTTCTACAATACAGGAGGAGCTAGCCGCGCACTCGTGCGCGGCGGGTCATACAACGTATGACAAGGTATTTAAACACAGTGTAGGTACTGGAAGTTAAATTCTAATAGTAAGCAGTGAGGCATATCTACTAAGATAAACAATGAATACTACTACTCTATTGTATATAAATATTTACATGTAACTGTAAGTCGGGTCAAATTATCATTACTCCAAATCCAATTGGGTCGGATTTAAAGCAACAAATTTTGATAAATAAATATCCATAATATATTTATTAAATGTTTACATGCAAAATGTTCAATAATTCATAACCAATGACCATACTCCGACATTTTTGTGTATCAATATCATTGTTACAAATAAAAGTAATATTACTAATAAAAGCAAATGAATCAATATCAATCAAATCTTCGTGATATCATGGCCAAAAATTGCATAAAAGGTTTTCCAAAAATTGTTTGACATGTTCGACTCATTATCGGATACACCCGCTCATTTTCAAAAAGATCTATTCAAAAAATTGTCAATCTACTTTGTATTTCGAGTCTATACAACTACCAAAATTTGGTCCAAATCAATAATCGTCTCAGAAGTCTGTAGACTCAGGTCAGTCTCTTTAAGCTCCATAGCGCGCGATTGAAGCAACATTAGTAGATTCTCTAATAGAGGAAGCAAGTCTCATCACTGCTTCTTCAAGTTGCTTCTCAGGCACCAAACTGAAAGCGAGTCTCAAGTAGGGCGATTTTACGTCTTCCGTCACAAACGCGCTCCCTGAAATAGATTTATCAGTTAATCTTAAATATGTTTTAACCGAAATCAAACAGGTTCTGATAATTTGTTTGTAAAAGCTGACGTAAGTATATTAATTTAGATAACAACATACACACTCAATACTCACCAGGAACAAAAGCAACTCCATTGTCCATAGCAAGCTCCGCAAATGATGATGCATCCTCTATGTCCTTCAATTTAAGCCACACAAACATACCAGCCTGAAAATATTTATGTGGGTAAATACCAGCCTGAATATAACTAACAGGTGAAAAGACAAAATGAACGGAATTTTCTGTAATAACAAATAATCGTGCCATCGAAATTTCCCATCTGAAAGGATAATAATATGTTTCATCATGTTTTTCATTACGATTTACGAAATCCGGGCATATCTGAGATAAATGATAAATAGTGATGGTCCCTCACTTGACCAAAATTGAAAATATGGATCAGGGAACAAACCTCGGGGACAATCCAGGTAGCAAGATCTGCCATATGCAGATCCAGCGCTGAAATAATGGCGTCTCTCTGTGACTTGTAATACTGAGTTATTTCTTGTGTGTGCTCCTTAAACCCGTCAATCCCGACCTTTTCGAAATAGGCGCCCGCCACAGTTTGCGACAAATTACATGAGTTCAGTAGAGACACCTGGGGTAAGTTCATTAAGAGTAGTAGTTCATTACACATGTCATAGTGATAGTACTGACTTAAATTTTTAGTCATTTTTTATCATAAAGCACCAAACGGCTTGAAATTTAATAAGCAGTTAATCGATCTTCAAGATCTACAAATGCATTTCTTGAAGTCTAACCGAGTAATGACGCTCCATGTAAGTAACAAGTTTAGGAGGGAACTAACCGAGTAATGACGCTCCATGTAAGTAACAAGTTTAGGAGGGAACTAACCGAGTAATGACGCTCCATGTAAGTAACAAGTTTAGGAGGGAACTAACCGAGTAATGACGCTCCATGTAAGTAACAAGTTTAGGAGGGAACTAACCGAGTAATGACGCTCCATGTAAGTAACTAGTTTAGGAGGGAACTAACCGAGTAATGACGCTCCATGTAAGTAACTAGTTTAGGAGGGAACTAACCGAGTAATGACGCTCCATGTAAGTAACAAGTTTAGGAGGGAACTAACCGAGTAATGACGCTCCATGTAAGTAACAAGTTTAGGAGGGAACTAACCGAGTAATGACGCTCCATGTAAGTAACAAGTTTAGGAGGGAACTAACCGAGTAATGACGCTCCATGTAAGTAACAAGTTTAGGAGGGAACTAACCGAGTAATGACGCTCCATGTAAGTAACAAGTTTAGGAGGGAACTAACCGAGTAATGACGCTCCATGTAAGTAACTAGTTTAGGAGGGAACTAACCGAGTAATGACGCTCCATGTAAGTAACAAGTTTAGGAGGGAACTAACCGAGTAATGACGCTCCATGTAAGTAACGAGTTTAGGAGGGAACTAACCGAGTAATGACGCTCCATGTAAGTAACGAGTTTAGGAGGGAACTAACCGAGTAATGACGCTCCATGTAAGTAACAAGTTTAGGAGGGAACTAACCGAGTAATGACGCTCCATGTAAGTAACAAGTTTAGGAGGGAACTAACCGAGTAATGACGCTCCATGTAAGTAACAAGTTTAGGAGGGAACTAACCGAGTAATGACGCTCCATGTAAGTAACAAGTTTAGGAGGGAACTAACCTAGTAATGACGCTCCATGTAAGTAACGAGTTTAGGAGGGAACTAACCGAGTAATGACGCTCCATGTAAGTAACAAGTTTAGGAGGGAACTAACCGAGTAATGACGCTCCATGTAAGTAACAAGTTTAGGAGGGAACTAACCGAGTAATGACGCTCCATGTAAGTAACAAGTTTAGGAGGGAACTAACCGAGTAATGACGCTCCATGTAAGTAACAAGTTTAGGAGGGAACTAACCGAGTAATGACGCTCCATGTAAGTAACAAGTTTAGGAGGGAACTAACCGAGTAATGACGCTCCATGTAAGTAACAAGTTTAGGAGGGAACTAACCGAGTAATGACGCTCCATGTAAGTAACAAGTTTAGGAGGGAACTAACCGAGTAATGACGCTCCATGTAAGTAACTAGTTTAGGAGGGAACTAACCGAGTAATGACGCTCCATGTAAGTAACAAGTTTAGGAGGGAACTAACCGAGTAATGACGCTCCATGTAAGTAACTAGTTTAGGAGGGAACTAACCGAGTAATGACGCTCCATGTAAGTAACGAGTTTAGGAGGGAACTAACCGAGTAATGACGCTCCATGTAAGTAACAAGTTTAGGAGGGAACTAACCGAGTAATGACGCTCCATGTAAGTAACAAGTTTAGGAGGGAACTAACCGAGTAATGACGCTCCATGTAAGTAACAAGTTTAGGAGGGAACTAACCGAGTAATGACGCTCCATGTAAGTAACAAGTTTAGGAGGGAACTAACCGAGTAATGACGCTCCATGTAAGTAACAAGTTTAGGAGGGAACTAACCGAGTAATGACGCTCCATGTAAGTAACGAGTTTAGGAGGGAACTAACCGAGTAATGACGCTCCATGTAAGTAACGAGTTTAGGAGGGAACTAACCGAGTAATGACGCTCCATGTAAGTAACAAGTTTAGGAGGGAACTAACCGAGTAATGACGCTCCATGTAAGTAACTAGTTTAGGAGGGAACTAACCGAGTAATGACGCTCCATGTAAGTAACTAGTTTAGGAGGGAACTAACCGAGTAATGACGCTCCATGTAAGTAACTAGTTTAGGAGGGAACTAACCGAGTAATGACGCTCCATGTAAGTAACAAGTTTAGGAGGGAACTAACCGAGTAATGACGCTCCATGTAAGTAACTAGTTTAGGAGGGAACTAACCGAGTAATGACGCTCCATGTAAGTAACGAGTTTAGGAGGGAACTAACCGAGTAATGACGCTCCATGTAAGTAACAAGTTTAGGAGGGAACTAACCGAGTAATGACGCTCCATGTAAGTAACAAGTTTAGGAGGGAACTAACCGAGTAATGACGCTCCATGTAAGTAACAAGTTTAGGAGGGAACTAACCGAGTAATGACGCTCCATGTAAGTAACGAGTTTAGGAGGGAACTAACCGAGTAATGACGCTCCATGTAAGTAACAAGTTTAGGAGGGAACTAACCGAGTAATGACGCTCCATGTAAGTAACAAGTTTAGGAGGGAACTAACCGAGTAATGACGCTCCATGTAAGTAACAAGTTTAGGAGGGAACTAACCGAGTAATGACGCTCCATGTAAGTAACAAGTTTAGGAGGGAACTAACCGAGTAATGACGCTCCATGTAAGTAACAAGTTTAGGAGGGAACTAACCGAGTAATGACGCTCCATGTAAGTAACAAGTTTAGGAGGGGACTGTACAGAGTAATGACGCTCCATGTAACTAACTAGTTTAGGAGGGAACTAACCGAGTAATGACGCTCCATGTAAGTAACAAGTTTAGGAGGGAACTAACCGAGTAATGACGCTCCATGTAAGTAACGAGTTTAGGAGGGAACTAACCGAGTAATGACGCTCCATGTAAGTAACAAGTTTAGGAGGGAACTAACCGAGTAATGACGCTCCATGTAAGTAACAAGTTTAGGAGGGAACTAACCGAGTAATGACGCTCCATGTAAGTAACAAGTTTAGGAGGGAACTAACCGAGTAATGACGCTCCATGTAAGTAACAAGTTTAGGAGGGAACTAACCGAGTAATGACGCTCCATGTAAGTAACAAGTTTAGGAGGGGCTGTACAGAGTAATGACGCTCCATGTAACTAACTAGTTTAGGAGGGAACTAACCGAGTAATGACGCTCCATGTAAGTAACAAGTTTAGGAGGGAACTAACCGAGTAATGACGCTCCATGTAAGTAACTAGTTTAGGAGGGAACTAACCGAGTAATGACGCTCCATGTAAGTAACGAGTTTAGGAGGGAACTAACCGAGTAATGACGCTCCATGTAAGTAACTAGTTTAGGAGGGAACTAACCGAGTAATGACGCTCCATGTAAGTAACAAGTTTAGGAGGGAACTAACCGAGTAATGACGCTCCATGTAAGTAACAAGTTTAGGAGGGAACTAACCGAGTAATGACGCTCCATGTAAGTAACGAGTTTAGGAGGGAACTAACCGAGTAATGACGCTCCATGTAAGTAACGAGTTTAGGAGGGAACTAACCGAGTAATGACGCTCCATGTAAGTAACAAGTTTAGGAGGGAACTAACCGAGTAATGACGCTCCATGTAAGTAACAAGTTTAGGAGGGAACTAACCGAGTAATGACGCTCCATGTAAGTAACAAGTTTAGGAGGGAACTAACCGAGTAATGACGCTCCATGTAAGTAACAAGTTTAGGAGGGAACTAACCGAGTAATGACGCTCCATGTAAGTAACGAGTTTAGGAGGGAACTAACCGAGTAATGACGCTCCATGTAAGTAACTAGTTTAGGAGGGAACTAACCGAGTAATGACGCTCCATGTAAGTAACAAGTTTAGGAGGGAACTAACCGAGTAATGACGCTCCATGTAAGTAACTAGTTTAGGAGGGAACTAACCGAGTAATGACGCTCCATGTAAGTAACAAGTTTAGGAGGGAACTAACCGAGTAATGACGCTCCATGTAAGTAACAAGTTTAGGAGGGAACTAACCGAGTAATGACGCTCCATGTAAGTAACAAGTTTAGGAGGGAACTAACCGAGTAATGACGCTCCATGTAAGTAACTAGTTTAGGAGGGAACTAACCGAGTAATGACGCTCCATGTAAGTAACAAGTTTAGGAGGAAACTAACCGAGTAATGACGCTCCATGTAAGTAACAAGTTTAGGAGGGAACTAACCGAGTAATGACGCTCCATGTAAGTAACAAGTTTAGGAGGGAACTAACCGAGTAATGACGCTCCATGTAAGTAACAAGTTTAGGAGGGAACTAACCGAGTAATGACGCTCCATGTAAGTAACAAGTTTAGGAGGGAACTAACCGAGTAATGACGCTCCATGTAAGTAACAAGTTTAGGAGGGGACTAACCGAGTAATGACGCTCCATGTAAGTAACAAGTTTAGGAGGGAACTAACCGAGTAATGACGCTCCATGTAAGTAACAAGTTTAGGAGGGAACTAACCGAGTAATGACGCTCCATGTAAGTAACAAGTTTAGGAGGGAACTAACCGAGTAATGACGCTCCATGTAAGTAACAAGTTTAGGAGGGAACTAACCGAGTAATGACGCTCCATGTAAGTAACAAGTTTAGGAGGGAACTAACCGAGTAATGACGCTCCATGTAAGTAACAAGTTTAGGAGGGAACTAACCGAGTAATGACGCTCCATGTAAGTAACAAGTTTAGGAGGGAACTAACCGAGTAATGACGCTCCATGTAAGTAACTAGTTTAGGAGGGAACTAACCGAGTAATGACGCTCCATGTAAGTAACAAGTTTAGGAGGGAACTAACCGAGTAATGACGCTCCATGTAAGTAACAAGTTTAGGAGGGAACTAACCGAGTAATGACGCTCCATGTAAGTAACAAGTTTAGGAGGGAACTAACCGAGTAATGACGCTCCATGTAAGTAACGAGTTTAGGAGGGAACTAATCGAGTAATGACGCTCCATGTAAGTAACAAGTTTAGGAGGGAACTAACCGAGTAATGACGCTCCATGTAAGTAACGAGTTTAGGAGGGAACTAACCGAGTAATGACGCTCCATGTAAGTAACAAGTTTAGGAGGGAACTAACCGAGTAATGACGCTCCATGTAAGTAACTAGTTTAGGAGGGAACTAACCGAGTAATGACGCTCCATGTAAGTAACGAGTTTAGGAGGGAACTAACCGAGTAATGACGCTCCATGTAAGTAACGAGTTTAGGAGGGAACTAACCGAGTAATGACGCTCCATGTAAGTAACGAGTTTAGGAGGGAACTAACCGAGTAATGACGCTCCATGTAAGTAACGAGTTTAGGAGGGAACTAACCGAGTAATGACGCTCCATGTAAGTAACAAGTTTAGGAGGGAACTAACCGAGTAATGACGCTCCATGTAAGTAACGAGTTTAGGAGGGAACTAACCGAGTAATGACGCTCCATGTAAGTAACAAGTTTAGGAGGGAACTAACCGAGTAATGACGCTCCATGTAAGTAACAAGTTTAGGAGGGAACTAACCGAGTAATGACGCTCCATGTAAGTAACAAGTTTAGGAGGGAACTAACCGAGTAATGACGCTCCATGTAAGTAACAAGTTTAGGAGGGAACTAACCGAGTAATGACGCTCCATGTAAGTAACAAGTTTAGGAGGGAACTAACCGAGTAATGACGCTCCATGTAAGTAACGAGTTTAGGAGGGAACTAACCGAGTAATGACGCTCCATGTAAGTAACAAGTTTAGGAGGGAACTAACCGAGTAATGACGCTCCATGTAAGTAACAAGTTTAGGAGGGAACTAACCGAGTAATGACGCTCCATGTAAGTAACAAGTTTAGGAGGGAACTAACCGAGTAATGACGCTCCATGTAAGTAACAAGTTTAGGAGGGAACTAACCGAGTAATGACGCTCCATGTAAGTAACTAGTTTAGGAGGGGCTGTACAGAAACCCAGTCTAAACCCAGGGCACAACACCTTGCTCAGAGAGTCTAGTCTAATCACTCTGCCCTCCGAGTCGTAATGTAGAAATGTCTTAAGCGGCTTGCCGTACTGATTGGAATAGTTGTGATAGTAACCAGAAAAGTTTAACCTATTTCACAAAATCGACTAATTTTAATGCCACTCCCAAAATATTTCCTGTGATTTTATTGATAAAAGTCGTTATTATGTTAGTATGTCAATAGTCATAAGCTCTTTATAGTTTAAACACAGGTACGAATATTCTAATTTGTTAAATTAATAATATTCACTTGATAGTTACAAACAGAATTTTGTTAGCAACAAAAACAAGTCATATTATATCAAATGTATATACAAATTCATTACGAATCATGATCAGAATCAAGATACAGGTTACGATTAATTGAACTTTTCAATAGAAAAAGTTTGACAGCGATCTGAAAGTTAGTTTTTTAAATTTCTCTTAATAACATTCATATACTTTACCTGGTACCTGAACAGCAAACACTTGGGGCTACTGAAAATAGGTTATAGCCCTGAAGCACTTTTTAAAGATTTTAAACGAAGCCGATCTGAAAGGCAACTCTGCCTGATTACGTTCACTGTTATCCTTCACAAGATTACCCTCGCACAAGATTATTCTCAATTTTCTTGTTGTGTTCCACAACTTGATCCCCTGAAAATAGGATTTGAAAAACGTTAATGCATGTTCTCTTATGAGATAAGTGAAACCTGGAAGATTTTAGGCAGTTATTTTTTCCATCGCCTAAAAAGGCAATAGATGGTTAGAAGTGGTAGGATTTGAGAATGGGTATAGTGGGTATAGGTTTTTCGTCGTGTCACAAAGCAAAACATGCATTAACCTCCGCAAACACGTGCTCCTTTACAAATTAACTCTTGATGGTCGCGCGCGCATTTTACAATGCTTTTATGTCAAAGTGTACTCTATGACTATAGTTACTATACCAAGAATCGAGCTAATAAATCGTGTACGGCGCGCATGTATATCTCTTTTCGCTGTTATACATTTTGATTCGCATTGATATTTGTCGTTTAAGCTTTCGTTAACTTCATGCGATACAAACTTCTCATTTTGTTGTGGGTGCTTGGTGCAACCCGATATTAGTAATCCGTTATGTTGTTGTATAAATTATGATGTTATGACTATCATGTTGAACATGATTGCCAATAGATTGATTCATTATATTTAGACGAAATGAACGATACATTTTATTATGATTCACATTGTATTAACTACCACAGATTTGATTGGGTGACATCTGTCCGACAGTCGAATTACCGGTTTCGGACAAGAGTCGCTGTCAGATAGGAGTCGTTTTTGGCGACATCTGTCCAACTTTCGGATCACATTTGCAATTTCGGATCACGTTCGTATTTCACAAGCTCACGTGTAATCTTGTGACGTTGCTCCCACAGTTCTAATATAATGCTGATTTGATCCATTGAGATCTGATCCATTGAGATCTGATCCATCGATACGTGATTGACTATTTGAGGACAGGATCATGCTAGCCGTACACTAACAAGCTGTAACAAGCTGCCAATCACATCACAGCCTACATTACACACAGGAGATCGGTATGGAGATCAGTTATTTATATAACATTTAAACTATTGTCCAATTTTTGACATCAAATGAAAATAAACTATGGTAGAGTTCAGCTCAGGTCATATCTCAGTTCAGATCATGTCTCTAATTGGAAAATGGAAATGTGTCGTATTGCAATTAGATCACAATTTCGGACAGATGTCTTTTTTTTCTGGTAACATATTGAGTCGGACAAGAGTCGCTGTCGGACAGATGTCCTTTTAACTGCATCATGCATATCACCGTACAGGCTGCGCTACGGTGTCCGGTCGTTTAACTTTCGATTCAAATAATTGACAACGGCAACCCCTCCATTTTGTTCTCTGTAACGCCCCAAAGAAATTTGGTAATTTAACCAATATGAAACGATTGTTAATTGTAATTAATTACGGGCGATGGAAATCTAGCGTCCGCTAACCGGCGCAATTCTTGTTAGTTAAGCTTTTGTCAGCGTTCTTATTAATAAAACCACAATCCACATTCCACATGCACGAATCAGGTTGAAGGGAAGTACTGTAAACATGTTTATTAAAAACTAACGTTTATGAAATAGTAGGGGTCGTCCTCAATAATCAGCAGGTCGTGTTCACAAACTATATCGTAAATCTCCTGCCGGTGCTTTTCTGGAATGTTTGCTCCACTCGGATTACTGCCAGTCGGGCAAACGATGAGAACTTTGGGTTTCCGTTTGGCATCTGGCCAGGATTCTAATGTGGCACGTAGGTTCCGCGGACACAAACCACCGACCACTGGGTCCTCAAGCACTGACACCACGTTCGCACTCATCGCTCTGGACTGAAAATACGGAGCGGTAACAATGACACAGTAATGATAATAAATAACGCGCAGAAACTTTGTCCATACCAGAGTCAATCTTCTATCACCTGAACACGACCCAGGAAATAAGGTATGCCCCCCCCCCCCCCCCCGCTTCCTACACCCCTGATCACAGGACATACCTTCAGTAACATGGGAGGGTAAACAGGGTTGGCAATCAACACAGAGTCCCCATCGTCAATCAGAGCATTGAGAGCCAGATACGAACCAAACTCTGCTCCAGTTGTAACGATCGTCTGTCGTTCTAGTGTAAAAGTTTTGTAAGACATTCACGACAATAATATTAAATAAATTAATAATAATTCTGAGAGAACTGCAATAATTCTAACTTTGCAAAGCTGACCAAGAGGAAGAAACTCAGATAAAAGTGAAACCTGGGCCAGGATATGGCTGCATCTCTTCGATGATCTTGCTCCAAAAGTCTAGAATACCAACCTGACCTATCGTCCTATTGTACTGAAGAGCAGCAGCCATTGCGGCACCTTCAATCTGAGATATATCTAGTTACCATGGTTACATTGCGGCACCTTCGATCTGAGATATATCTAGTTACCATGGTTACATTGCGGCACCTTCAATCTGAATTAAGAACAAAATGAAAAGGTTGCTGGTTTCTTACAGCACCCATTGCGGCACCTTCGATCTGAATTAAGAACAAAATGAAAAGGTTGCTGGTTTCTTACAGCAGCCATTGCGGCACCTTCGATCTGAATTGAGAACAAAATGAAAAGGTTGCTGGTTTCTTACCCGAGCAATGTCAGATCTCTGGGCAGCTTTTTGGAAACGTTTTTAAAAATATCTACTTCAACTTAAATTTATGATCAATCTGCCAACTGAGGTTCAACTAACCCTACCTTACCTTTAAATTTTCTCCAGACTTTAAATTAACGGACATTGACTCGATGGGGAAGGTGACGGGAGCAGGAGAGCCGGCAGCTAAAGAGAGGATGTCTTTATCAGGGGGTAAGGAGAGAAGGTAGTTACTGATAACACGATTGGAGAGGGATCTCGACTCAGCGCTGTCCGGGACAGGAACTTCAGGATAAGATCTTTCATGGCAGCTATATCGGATAAATACTGGGTAAGAGGGGGAAGAGAAACGTTATAAGTCAGATAAATTGCTGTGATTTATAATTTATAAAATGATTTGAACTGTGTTTTTATTTCTACACCCTTTTTTACTCGTATAATCAATCGTTACAAGCCATTTAATACTATCAAACAGAGTGAAATAGGACGTTATTCTGGCGTGAAGATAGTTGCAAGGAAACTATAACAATAAGCTGACGTCTAGAAGAGAAATATAAACGTTTAACCAACCCAGCTAAGTTAAATCTGATAGCAGAATTGCTACAACAAAATACAAACAATTTAATGTTATCTGAAGATATTATGTAACCAAAAAACATTGTAGCGCCCGATTTGTCAAAAGTATGGAATGTCAAAAATCAAACATTCCCACAAAAATTATAAATTGACAGATCTGATCTGGCTTTTGGTAAAAAAATTGATTACACACAATACAAAGATCACTGACGTGGTTATTATCAAATACTTAATACGTTCAATCATGCTTATATAATTTAAAACTCAAAAATTTTGAATATAAATTCGGCGTAATTTACAAAACGGGAAAACTGAAATCGCTGCATAAAACATAATTTGTAAATTAGGTTTAACGCATATTATAATTATGTATATGTCGAATACATTTCAAAGGATAAGGATTACTAAAAAACAGGCTTTTAATTCATTACTTCGAAGGCAAAGTCAGGATTTCAAATGTTAGAGACGATCCTCATCCAACTGAAGAAATTCTTTAGATACTAAAATACTAAAGTACAGACTACAGAAGTATATCAACAATTTTCGTCATAATCCAATATCCATTTTGAGTTTCCTGTAATTCCTAAAAGCTAGTCCCCAAAATATCACATTGACTGTATTCCGGGTTCCTGGGCCTCTATAAGGGGCCTGGTGACATCCTGATCCCTACCGTACTCGTCACGTAGGAACCCACTAGCGTTCAGTGCGGAGTTCTCTCGGGTTCTACTGGATACAACAGTTGGACGACGGGTTACAACCTGGGGGAAAGATTCTGATTAAGTTAAAAGCTAGGACAGTGTGACTGCTATAACAATGACTGGATTGGTAATTTTACCGTTAAGGTACCATCTGCACATTTTGTTGTGTACCCAACTTTAAAATGCTATTCACCAAAGAAAGGCTTTGATAGTTTTATTATTACAGTTATTATTCCTTTTGCAAAGATCAACTCACCGTATCTGCAGCCTTAGCCCTGTCCTCAATAACAAACTCTGCGGCAATAAAGTAGAAAACACTACCCAGAACACACACGAAACAGGAAAAGAAGAAGGAGTATTCCAGGGCGACGGCTGTAGAGATGGACATGTCGAAATCTTTAAACGCTTCCTTTATTTTATCTGATAACTGAAATTATATAGAATTAGGCAGAATCAGGCGTGAGCTTGTAATGGATGGAGGAGGTGAGCTTGTAATAGAGGGGGTGAGCTTGTAATAGAGGGGGTGAGCTTGTTATGGAGGGGGTGAGCTTGTAATAGAGGGGGTGAGCTTGTAATAGAGGGGGTGAGCTTGTAATAGAGGGGGGTGAGCTTGTAATAGAGGGGGGTGAGCTTGTAATAGAGGGGGTGAGCTTGTAATAGAGGGGGTGAGCTTGTAATAGAGGGGGTGAGCTTGTAATAGAGGGGGTGAGCTTGTAATAGAGGGGGGTGAGCTTGTAATAGAGGGGGTGAGCTTGTAATAGAGGGGGGTGAGCTTGTGATAGAGGGGGTGAGCTTGTAATAGAGGGGGGTGAGCTTGTGATAGAGGGGGTGAGCTTGTAATAGAGGGGGTGAGCTTGTAATAGAGGGGGTGAGCTTGTAATAGAGGGGGTGAGCTTGTAATAGAGGGGGTGAGCTTGTAATAGAGGGGGGGTGAGCTTGTGATAGAGGGGGTGAGCTTGTAATGGATGGAGGAGGTGAGCTTGTAATAGAGGGGGTGAGCTTGTAATAGAGGGGGTGAGCTTGTAATAGAGGGGGTGAGCTTGTAATAGAGGGGGTGAGCTTGTAATAGAGGGGGTGAGCTTGTAATAGAGGGGGGTGAGCTTGTAATAGAGGGGGTGAGCTTGTAATAGAGGGGGGTGAGCTTGTGATAGAGGGGGTGAGCTTGTAATAGAGGGGGGTGAGCTTGTGATAGAGGGGGTGAGCTTGTAATAGAGGGGGTGAGCTTGTAATAGAGGGGGTGAGCTTGTAAGAGGGGGTGAGCTTGTAATAGAGGGGGTGAGCTTGTAATAGAGGGGGTGAGCTTGTAATAGAGGGGGGTGAGCTTGTAATAGAGGGGGTGAGCTTGTAATAGAGGGGGGTGAGCTTGTGATAGAGGGGGTGAGCTTGTAATAGAGGGGGGTGAGCTTGTGATAGAGGGGGTGAGCTTGTAATAGAGGGGGGTGAGCTTTAATGGAAGGGGCGGGGTGGCGGTGGGGGGGGGGCCAATGGCATAAAATGGCATAAAATGGCATAAAATGGAGACTTTTTCTATGGAGAAAATGGAAAAACCCATGAGTAATTCTCCATTTTCTCCATTTTATGCCATGAATTTTGTCTTCGAAATTTCATCTTTAACACCATTTAACACCTAAATTGGACATCCTAACATGTTTATTTACGCTTACTAGGGGCGTAACAAGCTTATGAAAGCTCATAATAGGCTACTAGATGCTTATACTAGGTTAGTAGAGGCACACTTCAGGCAAACTCATAATTACTCAAGCCTAGTGTAAAGTTATTTCTACAGGCTACAGCAGGAGTGAGTAATAGGGGAGAGTAATAGGCACTGAGAAGTGAGACCTACATCCTCGACAGTCGAAACAAGCTCGCACTGCAAAGGGGAGGCCTGTCTTCCAAGATCGCATTACCAGGGGGAAGCCTCGAGTCCAAATTTGTGTATCGAGGGGTAGGTGCAGACTTCGATAAACCGAAAAATCAAAAAAATATTTTCGGCTAATAATGAAGAGGGTAGCATGAAACGTGGAGAAAAGTGGTTTTTAGAAAAACTTTGAAAAATTTAGACTTAAAAAATTTTCGGCCCGGGAGAGCTCCCGATTCCGAGCTCGCGTTGCAAAGGGGAGGCCTGCCTTCCGAGATCGCATTACCAGGGGGAAGCCTCGAGTCCAAAATTGTGTACCGACTACCGAGGGGTAATTTTCTAAGTCAACATTTTTCAAATTTTTTCTGAAAACCGCTTTTCTCCACGTTTCATGCTACTCTGTTCATTATTTGCCGAAAATATTTTTTCGGTTTTTCGAAGTCCACACCTTCCCCTCGATACACAATTTTGGACTCGAGGTAATGCGATCTCGGAAGGCAGGCCTCCCCTTTGCAACACGAGCTCGGAATCGGGAGCTCTCGATACGGGAGGTACGTATCGAAAATGACTCGGACCGAACATTTTCTAAGTCAGCATTTTTCAAATTTTTTCTGAAAACCGCTTTTCTCCACGTTTCATGCTACCCTGTTCATTATTTGCCGAAAATAGTTTTTCGGTTTTTCGAAGTCCACACCTTCCCCTCGATACACAATTTTGGACTCGAGGTAATGCGATCTCGGAAGGCAGGCCTCCCCTTTGCAACACGAGCTCGGAATCGGGAGCTCTCGATACGGGAGGTACGTATCGTAAATGAATCGGACCGAACATTTTCTAAGTCAACATTTTTCAAAGTTTTTCTGAAAACCACTTTTCTCCATGTTTCATGATACTCTGTTCATTATTGGCCGAAAATATCTTTTTTTTAAATAATTTTTCTCGAAATTCTAAATTTTTCAGGTTTTCAATGGCATAAAATGGAGACTATTTCTATGGAGAAAATGGAAAAACCTATGAGTAATTCTCCATTTTCTCCATTTATGCCATTGCCCCCCCCCCCCCCCCGGCGGGGTTGGTGAGCTTGTTATGGAGGGGGTGAGCTTGTAATGGATGGAGGGGTGGCCCGCTTGCTTCGCTCGCAATGTCGGCTTCCCAGGGCTAGCACGGCGAAAGAAGCAAGCACATAGTCAGTTCTAGTTCTTGGGCATTTGGGGCTGGGCTCCGGAAAAATTTTTGCGTTTTTGCTTGGCCACATTAAAATCTACAATAACAAAATATCTGAAGCCCTTCAAAATAGAGTGTTAGAAAATTTGAGAAATTAATAATTCAAAGTGGCTTTCTCCGACAACCCACAAGTAAAATACAGCCAGCTGGCACCATTTATTGTAATTATCACAAATTATGATATGTCCCTTTTAAAGTAGAGGCAACCATGTCCCGAGAATTTTTTTTTTCTTCCCAATTTTCGAAAACCTACCCATTATGTAGTGAGGTAACAGGAACTAGATAAGAAGAGCTAGATATTTATTAAATTTTTAAAAGTGAGGTAACTTATAATAACTCAATCGCAATTAGAAAACTCAAATATTAGTACCAACGGTTGAATTTTAAAGTAATCCCAGTGCTACCGGCGAAATATTTTTGGGGAAATTAGCTGATTTGAACAGTTTTACTTGCTTCAGAGGGATAAATACTGATGCCCCTCCAAAAGAGGGCACGAGGCCCAACGGCATGGAGGGGCACCCCTCGAAAGAGGGGCATGGAGGGGCACTCCTTGAAAGAGGGTATGGAGGGGCACCCCTCGAAAGAGGAGCATGGAGGGGCACCCCCAGAAAGAGGGGCAGGGAGGGGCACCCCTCGAAAGAGGGGCATGGAGGGGCACTCCTTGAAAGAGGGTATGGAGGGGCACCCCTCGTAAGAGGAACATGGAGGGGCACCCCTCGAAAGAGGGACATGGAGGGGCACCCCTCGAAAGAGGAGCATGGAGGGGCACCCCCAGAAAGAGGGGCAGGGAGGGGCACCCCTCGAAAGAGGGGCATGGAGGGGCACTCCTTGAAAGAGGGTATGGAGGGGCACCCCTCGAAAGAGGAGCATGGAGGGGCACCCCCAGAAAGAGGGGCAGGGAGGGGCACCCCTCGAAAGAGGGGCATGGAGGGGCACTCCTTGAAAGAGGGTATGGAGGGGCACCCCTCGTAAGAGGAACATGGAGGGGCACCCCTCGAAAGAGGGTATGGAGGGGCACCCCTCGTAAGAGGAACATGGAGGGGCACCCCTCGAAAGAGGGACATGGAGGGGCATCCCTCGAAAGAGGGGCATGGAGGGGCACTCCTTGAAAGAGGGTATGGAGGGGCACCCCTCGTAAGAGGAACATGGAGGGGCACCCCTCGAAAGAGGGACATGGAGGGGCATCCCCAGAAAGAGGGACATGTTGGTCACTCTCCCTGACCGCAGGTACTTACTTCTCCCTGTATAGTTGGACTTATAGCATCCCCCAGGAGATGAGAGAAGAGAATATTAACTGCTTGAGCAAGGGATCTCATCAGAGCTGGGGTCGTGTACTGAAAGTGGTTAAATCGGTTAAAAGATTTCGAAGTTGGTGGGTGTTCAATATCGCTACGAAAAGCACAGAGTTTAAAGCAGGATCATTGCTTACTTCTTGTAAAATTGATATTTAAATAAGTTAACATTACTTATACTACTTATAATAAGTTAATATATACGTAGTAAATCTACAGATTAAAGTGGAAAAAAGTCACACTTTATACGGTACACCCTGTATAGTATATGTAGTAAATTTACAGATTACGTTTTAAGTAAACTAACCAAAATAATAGCGGTATTGGGAGCCCATCCAATAAACGCAGCGATCTGAGTTATCATAGCAAACACCCAAAACGTAGCAATATTGTAGGGGGCCATTGCTATAGCAATATAAAGAGTAACAGATGTTACCAGCATCCCCACCGCGTTAATGAGAGGGTCTGCCTTCATTGTGTACCGTTCCAGGAACTTGCTAACCACCGAACCAAGTGGAATCGCGATAAATCCCGCCACACAGGTCAGGATTCCAAATATATAGTTCGCCCTGGAAATGAAGATGTTGATAATCTGTGAACAACATTTTTTGAAACTTAAACTAAGGCATAGGCTCCTTAACCCTGTAGTGAGATTTGAGGGGAAGATAGTGGACGTAGTGGAGCTTAACAATTCTATTACAATGTTAACATGAAACAATTATCACTATTATTACGTGACACTATTATGCATGTCAAATTGTCATCAGGTTATGAAAACTGTGCAAAACCAATGATCTCAGTAGTTAACTAAGATAAAGTAAGCACTGTAATCCTGGAGGGGCATTTGTTTTAAAACATAAGAGATACGAAAAGTTTGTTTTAGCAGGAGCTTTCAAAATACATATGTAAATCGTCTTCAGCTAGGGATGATGTTAGTAGATATAATATAAGTTAAGTATTATATCTATTGATTTTGTGAAACTCTTTTAACTTACATCAAACTCACTCTGAATTGGAGTAAAACTCACTCTGAATTGGAGTAAAACTCACTCTGAATTGGAGTAAAACTCACTCTGAATTGGAGTAAAACTCACTCTGAATTGGAGTAAAACTCACTCTGAATTGGAGTAAAACTCACTCTGAATTGGAGTAAAACTCACTCTGAATTTGAGTAAAACTCACTCTGAATTGGAGTAAGGAGTACCAGCCATCTCGGAAGCGTGTACCACATACACAGGTATCCACTGAGTCAGGGAACCCACAGTAAAGGCGAGGCAGGAGAAGCCTAAAGTCGTGAACAAGTACGATTTCCTGAGATAACAATAATAAATAGAAGTTCAATAACACCACTTTTAAGATAAAACTTATATTGTGTTCTTGAATATAATCATCTTGAATAAGATAAGGACTGGAAACGAATGCTTGAAAAATATCGTTAATTCTAATGACAGAAATTGATGTTAGGTTTAACGATTGAGTAGTCGGATCGGAAAGTTGTGGGATATTGTCGCGTGTTTTTTAGTGTTTACCAATTTTTAACATAGGCACATTCAGATGAATATCAAAAGGGAAAGTAAAAATCAGCAAAACATTAATAATTCAAAATATTAGTACACACGTTTTGAGAAGAGTCCAGCTCTCAACCCCCCCCCCCCCCGGCCCCCTTAATAACGTTACCACACGTTAACACACGTTTTGAGAAGAGTCCAGCTCTCAACAGCAAGCTGAACGAAAGGGTTCTGACCGGCCCTGATCTCCTGGGAATGTGTCAGCTGGACGGAGTTGTTAGCGTTATCTGCACCTCCTCGCTCAGGGTTGGGCACTAGAAACAGCGTGGCAATTGCTAGCAGGACAACAACAGGGGGAGACACCTGGTAGAACGTTAGGTAGAATATTCGGCTCAAGTATTATTGATCTAGATATCTATTTTTAAAATCACAACGAAACTATTAAATTTGAGGAATGTAGAGAACACTAAGTGCGCTACAACTAATGTAGAGATTAAAAGTTACCCTGAAAGCCCATCTCCATCCATATCTGTCCGATATTCCTCCACCGATTATATAGCCAAGTGCTCCTCCTGAAAATAGTATATATTTTAAATATTATAATTTTCGGTCCAATTTAGGGGGGGGGGGGGGGGGGGGGGAATCATGAGTATTTTTTAGAATTTCTGAATCTGAGAATTTGACCATTTTCACCAGGAATACTCAAAAATGTCTCAAAAATTATTTTTGAATCTGAGAAATTCCCCCCCCCCCCCCCCGCCCCCCAATTTACGCAATATGAGAACGATCCCTGTCTATAACTTTAAGGCAATTGGTTTGAAAACAGGCAGGAGGGGAACATCAAATAATGTTCGGAAATCTGTTTTGGATCGAAAAGAGACCAAAGCGACGAGTTAACAATGACGCTCGGCAAGCATTGCTTGCAACAAAATAAGCATGAATCATTCAACTGCTCGTACTGCACTGACTACAGTTAAAAGACACATTTTCGTTCACTACACTATTTAGTTGGGTTAGTTACTACGCTTTTTGTTTCTCGAACAATAATTTGGTTACCGTTTGAAATTTTTTCGGTTGCTAATTTACAGTGGTTACTTCATGTTCATCAGCTGAACAGGTGAAAGAAGATGGGAGAAAACGGTAACCCCTTTCCAAGTGTATACCCCACTGTAGCAGACCCGCCAGACATGACATACTCCAGCACAGCTGATCTGGGACTTCCAAGTAACTTTGGCGGGGTTTCTAGCATGGACAATTATCTTCACGACGACTCAGATATGCTCTTCATGAGCATACGGTCTGGTGAGCATGCGGGAGTGGGGAGTACACTGGCAGATAGAGGCCATGTTGTGGATATAGTTCTCAGAATAGGGTGCTCTCCATTGCACTACTCCAAATTCAATCTAGCTAACCGTGAAGCAAATAACGGAGATACCCCTCTCATAATGGCAGCCCGAGTTGACAGTAAGATGGTGAAAATAGTATTGAATTACGGAGGTAACCCGAACCATGCTAACAAAGACAGGGATACTCCACTAAGTGTGGCCGCTAGCAGGAGCGATAGAGAGGCCATTAATGCACTTTTGCTTGCAGGCGCTAACTTGAGAGCGGCGGTTGTGAAGATGACGTCACTGCTGAAATACATCACTTCAGAGGACCAGTTACAGGGCTACGGAGATATGGCGTACAGTGTCAAACCTCTCACCTTTCTCTTGTCCGATGACGTGTACTTGATGTGCAGGTGTCCGATAAAATCCGCATTTGATGTTGGCAAAGATATTGCTAACATTCAAAATGTGAGGGATGAATTTAAAATTGAGTTCGAGCTACTGATTGAGGATGCCAATGATTTTGCCTGCAGATTTTTGAACAATATTGACAGGATGTGGGAAGCTAGGGAAATCCTCACATCCCCAGTTGATCTGATTACAATGGCAATAGATCTCAAGAAAAAGAAGTTTGTGTCCCACCCGTTTTGTCAGCAGATCATTAATGGGCGTTGGTATGGAAAACTTGCCAACAAGATGTTCCACGGAAAAGCTGTTATAGCAATAGAATACTTTTTTAGCCCCTTTTTGTTTTTGCCATTATTGCTTAAGTTCCTCTTTTTCGATGTCTGGAGGGGAGTCCCAGTCATGGATTCCAGTTTCGTATCTCTGCTCAGGTTGAAATTCACGCCTTTTCTATGCTTCATCACAGATACATTGAACTACATTGCATTTCTTTTTATCTTAATTTGTGTTTGTCTCATAGAACAATCAATTGACGAAATCAACCCATTGGAGAAAGCATTATATGTCTGTGTTCTATCCCGAATCTTCATTGAACTCGATGTCGCTGTTCAGCAAGGATGGAGAAGGTACTTTGCAAATGTGTGGAACCAGGCGGACTGTCTAATATTGTTGCTCGTAGTAATCTCAGCTCTCTATAAAGGATATATGATTAAAACATATTATCATTACTATGATTATAAGGATGGCTATGAGCATTCGGAGCTAGAGCTACTCTTCACTAACTTCACTTCCGTTAGTTTCAACGAGTCACAAATTGTTTCTTCACAGTTGATTTACCCGGTTATGTTAAGGAATTTACGGTGATGGTTATTCGCTACCAACATTTTCTGAACATAAGCTACATGTACGCAGTGGCAGAATTCATTCTTTTCCTCAGACTGCTCACTCTTCTAGAAGTCACCAGATCAATGGGCCCAATGATGATCGCTCTGAAATACCTGCTGCTTGATGTTTTGAAGTTCTCGGTCCTACTTTTCACGACTATCTTTGGAGCATCCATAACGATTCACTCCATGAGTGTTACATTGGAAAAATTGATCGGAAACGTAAATGATCTATGTCGTACGTTGAAAGATCAACAGGCTACCTTCTTGTGGACAAATGAATTATTCTTGAAATTTTTTGGTGATATGATAGACAAAGAAACAGAATTAAATGATAATTCTATATTTTGTGAAAATGTAAAAGATATTAAGCCCCCGCCATCATTTCAAAGTTTCCTTGCCACTGTCACAAGTATCATGTGGTCTACATTTGGTCTTTTTGATGTATCGGTAAGTTATAAGTTATCGAATTATTTTTACAGTTAAAAATAAAACTGCCCGTAGAATTATAATGTTTAAAAAATTCAAATCAAGTCAGTCAGACCAGTCAGGGGAATCTAGCGTTAAACATCAAACAAGAAGATATTACGATAGATATTACAATTTGTTAAATTCTAATAAATAATAATAACAAATTGAAATTTAATAACACCGCTTTTAAGATAAAATGTTTAAACTACTAGCACTAAGACCACCCGGTTAAACAAACCATGAACTTTGTCATATCATTATAATTCAATATATTTTCAGAAGGTGACAAAGCCATTCGATCCGTCAACAATAAATTTTGTCAACGTTATCTTGGTTCTCTATATCTTGCTTTCCTGCGTACTGCTGCTCAACATGCTTATTGGAATTCTCAGCAGTACCTTCGACAGGATCCAAGATAACTGTGATGTTGAGTGGAAGTATGCCAGGAGCGAGTTGCTTAAGGTTCGTCGGAATAAATAGCTCAGGATTTCCAGAATCTTAATTTCCAGATAATGAGACAATATAATAACTTTGCTCTGCTCTAAAATTTAGGAAACATTATAAGTCAAAACGAATCCAACCTGTTAAACAAATAACAGCAAGTGCGGGTCATTTGTTCCTTTTAACTTTTTAAAAGCAAAATCCCTAAGTTTAAACTAAATTAAAAAGGTCTTCGACATTTCTTAGGCTTAAATGTCTATAATTAAGTTAGGATATTAATAAGTTAAACAAATATTTGCTTCTATCAATCAAACCTCGAACAAGAGAGTCATATTTTGTTTAAATTCGAATAATTAATCTTCTTCCAGGAGTACAGCGAAACACAGCCTTTCTTCATTCCCTTTTCCGCCATTCTCCTCCCCTTGGTTATTTGGTTCCGGAGGAAGCTAAAGAAGGAACAGCGTAAAACATCCAAGAAGACTCAGGCAGCAGATCAAGATGAACGAGACAAGATTATTAGTGCGGTTTGTGGAAGGTTCCAGCTTGATTTTCCAGATGTAGCAGAGGAGTGCTGCAAGTGTGCAGCTAAAACGAGACCAACATCAGCTTCAAAGCCACCGGGATCTACTCAAGATAAATTTGATGCAAGAGTCAGGCGACTTAGGAGACAGCAATCCGTGCTGCAGCAGTTCAAAAAGTAATGATGAAGACAGCAATCCGTGCTGCAGCAGTTCAAAAAGTAATGATGTGAATCCAGAACAGTAGACAAAGAAGACAGCAATCCGTGCTGCAGCAGTTCAAAAAGTAATGATGAAGACAGCAATCCGTGCTGCAGCTGTTCAAAAAGTAATGATGTGAATCCAGAACAGTGGACAAATCTTTTCATCTAGATTTTGAAACAGCATTTTCTTTATTTGCGTCTAGCTATTTATTTAGTAAGTCAAAGAACTGTAAACTGACAAGTTATGAACATTGGAGAGAGATTTATACACGAAATAGGAGGTCAAGTTATACTTAGCTTGAGTCGCTAGTAGAACTAATAGTAATATAATGGTATATGATAATAATAATAATAACTAGAAATTTATACATCGCTTTATAGCCAAAAAGAACTCAAAATCCAAAGATTCGGTTCAAGCCATCTAAAGCGACTCATGAACATGTACATAAGAACTTTGAATTTTATGAAGTATGGTTTGTATGAGAAAGATATTATATGATACTTATATGAACACTTTTTCAAAGAGATGAGTCTCTTTTTAAACAAGACAATATCGGTCAATGTTCTCAATTGATAAGGAAGCTGATTCCATATTATACATATTATATATAATATTATATATAATATATTATATATATACTATAACCCAAACCGCAAAACTAGCCCAACTCTTATTTTGACCCTGACCAGTTACCATAACAACCCCAGTGGCATGAAGATCTGGAGTACATTGCCAAATTGGGTTTTACGATCTTTTTGATTTGAATTTTTAATCTTTTAAATTGAATCTTTAATCTCTATTTTGAATCTATGGTAGGAGCTGTGCCCCCTATATAATATACACTATACAGTATACACTATACACTATACAGTATACAGTGTATAATATACAGTGTTATTAAGGTGATACAGTGATACCAAAAGAGAGGAGTCAGAGTGCTGTGTAATTTTTACCCAATTTTCGGATTCGATACTTTTAATTATAACGCCCAACGGCAAGCGACAAGTCTCTCATATCAGATTTTTCAATCTAAATCAGGAAATAACTGATCATCTGTGTCGCTTATCAAGGATGCAAACCGATGGACCCATACAAGAAGCAGGAGCAGTCAGCAGCGGGCAAGTAATACCTGTACAGCAAATGGAGATGAAGTGAACCCCCCCCCCCCCCGTGTAGTGTGTAGTGTGTACCCCCCCCCCCCCCCCCGTGTAGTGTGTACCCCCGCCCCCCCGTGTAGTGTGTACCCCCGCCCCCCCGTGTAGTGTGTAGTGTGTACCCCCCCCCCCCCCCGTGTAGTGTGTAGTGTGTACCCCCCCCCGTGTAGTGTGTACCCCCCCCCCCCGTGTAGTGTGTACCCCCCCCCCCCGTGTAGTGTGTACCCCCCCCCCCCGTGTAGTGTGTACCCCCCCCCCCCCCCCGTGTAGTGTGTACCCCCGCCCCCCCGTGTAGTGTGTACCCCCCCCCCCCCCCCGTGTAGTGTGTAGTGTGTACCCCCCCCCCCCCCCCCGTGTAGTGTGTACCCCCGCCCCCCCGTGTAGTGTGTACCCCCGCCCCCCCGTGTAGTGTGTAGTGTGTACCCCCCCCCCCGTGTAGTGTGTACCCCCCCCCCCCCCGTGTAGTGTGTACCCCCGCCCCCCCGTGTAGTGTGTAGTGTGTACCCCCCCCCCCCCCCCCCCCCCGTGTAGTGTGTACCCCCCCCCCCCGTGTAGTGTGTAGTGTGTACCCCCCCCCGTGTAGTGTGTAGTGTGTACCCCCCCCCCGTGTAGTGTGTACCCCCCCCCCCCGTGTAGTGTGTAGTGTGTACCCCCCCCCGTGTAGTGTGTAGTGTGTACCCCCCCCCCCCGTGTAGTGTGTAGTGTGTACCCCCCCCCCCCCCCCGTGTAGTGTGTAGTGTGTACCCCCCCCCGTGTAGTGTGTAGTGTGTACCCCCCCCCCCCGTGTAGTGTGTAGTGTGTACCCCCCCCCGTGTAGTGTGTAGTGTGTACCCCCCCCCCCCCCCCGTGTAGTGTGTACCCCCCCCCCCCCCCCCCCCCCCCCCCCCCCCCCCCCGTGTACTTACCAACAGGAGTACCGATGAAGAAGAAGGACAGGTAGAAGGTTCTCTGAGCAGCGGGGATAATGTCCGCTATGATGGGCGGGGCTAGAGCCGCGTACGAAGCCTCTCCTATACCCACTATCCCACGCAGCACTAACAACTGCCAGTACTGAAATGTAGCAGTTGTTACCTACCTTGTGATGCTCGTATTTAGAATCATTCCAAGTAAAATAGAACAAATCAAGTGGTTTTATGTCACAATGGTCACGTGATCAGGCCAATTTCAATGAATCTATCAGACGAATAGGCATCTTCTAAAATTACATTTTAATTTTGCAGTTCCATATCATAAGAATACAATAGAAGAACAAGAAAACTGGTATCGAGAATTATTCTAAAACAAAATATCTTATATTACCGTTTGTGCAAAAGAGCACATAAAAGTGGAGGCAGCCCAGATGACAAGACCAGTAGCGATGAGCCTCGGCCTGTTGTAACGATCACCTAAAATTTTATAGTTTAAGTTTACATTGACAAAATCATACCAGCTAAAGTTGTCTTATTATAACGGAAAATATAAGCAAGTATCTAATTACAAGATTTAACGGTGAGGGAGGGGGCCAGTGAGGAGGGGGCCAGTGAGCCGTGAGGGAGGGGGGGGGGCGAGTGAGGGAGGGGCCGAGGCTGGGGGGACCAGTGAGGGAGGGGACCCTTCTCTACATAATAGGGGTTCAGCTCAAATCACAAACGAATAATGATTACAAGTCTGAAATACCCACCTAAATACCCAAAGACAGGTGACAAAAACATATAAGATACGATGAAAGCTGTTGTCAGTAAGCCACCTTGAGAAAACGACAAATTAAAATCGTCCAATAACTTTTCGAGTGTCCCTGAAAGGAGAATGGTTAATAGCTTTATCGAGATGGTGGCTGGCAATCGGAATGGAGTTGCTACAAACATTATAAATATAATTATTGATATTTGATATATCAGTCAAACAGTCACAGTCGTGCAACTCTACAAATATGAAAGCTGAGGCATGTTACTATATATATCCTGCTAGTGAAAACAAACCAGAGACGATGTATCGGTCGATGTAGTTGAAGAGGTTGATGAAGAAAAGAATCCATATTGGCAGGATCTGTCTCATCCCCACTCTGTAGGTACCAACCACCTGCACGCCCACTGAGTCATCAGATGGCATGATCTTAGGCTGCTCTTATTTTGATTTTATGTCCGCGGTTATGTGCAGTGGTACGTTTCCGTTTTAAGAGTTGGTGTTTTCGGCAGAGAAATCAGTTTGAATTAACTGTCTGGTTTCGGTTATTTGATAAGTAAGTTATTTTCTGAAAATGGGCGTGGACTGTTATTGAGATTACAGATGTTTTAGAGAGGTCAGAAACCGTTCAAAGAGTCAAGTCAGCTTCTACATGGCATCTATCTAGAGGTTAACAATGTCAGAGGAAATTTAAGAAAAATATTACGAAAAAATAAAGAATAGTCAATTAAACAATAGTCAATTAAACACTGCACACAATTTTGGCAAATTCCGGAAAAACAAAGAGGACATGTGATGCAGCACTAAATAGTGTTATATTTCATGCAATGACAGTGCTTGCAGGGAAACGTTCTGGAGACAAAGTGTCATGTTTCATCATCCTACATATGACGTGATTTCAAATAAATGTGTAACCCGTGATTTCAAATAAATTTGTAACCCGTGATCTATATTATTTTGAAGTGAAAGCATCAGTATTGAGGAAACATTATTACAAATTTAATGGTCAAAAACTTTAACTTTTGAAAATTAAAATAGTTATATAAATTTAAAACAATAAATAATGAAAATCTCGTGATGTTAATTGGGGGTGGATTGTATATCAGATTATCAGGTTTAAGTTTCGTTTGGTTTACTCTTATCATGTATCAGGCGACATTTCTGTACAATGTACAATGTACAATGTACAATGTACAATGTACAATGTAACATGTACAATGTACACGTCATAATAAAGAGTTCAGGGGAGGATCATAGCAGATGATAATATCAACAGTGAGCAGAGAGAAAAGTACGTATTAAATATCATTACTATTCCTACTCAACAATCATTGCACTGCAACGATTACTTCAGGACATTACATCATAAAGTTCCCTTTACTTAGAAAATTAATAAATACTTTCAACCCATCAAAATGAGGCCAGCCTCAGCCTTTCCGTTACATAGCTTAATTTATTGTTTCAAAACTGTCTGTTTCATTGCATTTCATTTCATAAAATACAAACAATTTTGAAATTTTAACTCCTTTCAAATAAAAATCTAAAAATCCTCAAAACCCTCCTAAAACGTATCGAACAGCTCTAGGAAGCTACCTTTTCAGCTAGTCCCTGCTTGATAATATCTAGATGCTGGAGATCATCCCTGATAATATCTAGGAGATGGCCTATACCGTCCTGTTGTCTTGATAAGTGGGAGTGTATACTGGCCAGCACTGCGTTGTCCATCTGAGCAAGGGTTAATGTGGTTAGAGGAACACTTTTACATTGGAGCAGGGTTAATGTGGTTAGAGCAACACTTTTACATTGGAGCAGGGTTAATGTGGTTAGAGCAACACTTTTACATTGGAGCAGGGTTAATGTGGTTAGAGCAACACTTTTACATTGGAGCAGGGTTAATGTGGTTAGAGGAACACTTTTACATTGGAGCAGGGTTAATGTGGTTAGAGCAACACTTTTACATTGGAGCAGGGTTAATGTGGTTAGAGCAACACTTTTACATTGGAGCAGGGTTAATGTGGTTAGAGCAACAATTTTACATTGGAGCAGGGTTAATGTGGTTAGAGGAACACTTTTACATTGGAGCAGGGTTAATGTGGTTAGAGCAACACTTTTACATTGGAGCAGGGGTTAATGTGGTTAGAGCAACACTTTTACATTGGAGCAGGGTTAATGTGGTTAGAGCAACACTTTTACATTGGAGCAGGGTTAATGTGGTTAGAGCAACACTTTTACATTGGAGCAGGGTTAATGTGGTTAGAGCAACACTTTTACATTGGAGCAGGGTTAATGTGGTTAGAGCAACACTTTTACATTGGAGCAGGGGTTAATGTGGTTAGAGCAACACTTTTACATTGGAGCAGGGTTAATGTGGTTAGAGCAACACTTTTACATTGGAGCAGGGTTAATGTGGTTAGAGCAACACTTTTACATTGGAGCAGGGTTAATGTGGTTAGAGCAACACTTTTACATTGGAGCAGGGTTAATGTGGTTAGAGCAACACTTTTACATTGGAGCAGGGTTAATGTGGTTAGAGCAACACTTTTACATTGGAGCAGGGTTAATGTGGTTAGAGCAACACTTTTACATTGGAGCAGGGTTAATGTGGTTAGAGCAACACTTTTACATTGGAGCAGGGTTAATGTGGTTAGAGCAACACTTTTACATTGGAGCAGGGTTAATGTGGTTAGAGCAGGGTTAATGTGGTTAGAGCAACACTTTTACATTGGAGCGGGGTTAATGTGGTTAGAGCAACACTTTTACATTGGAGCAGGGTTAATGTGGTTAGAGCAACACTTTTACATTGGAGCGGGGTTAATGTGGTTAGAGCAACACTTTTAAATTTAATGGAAACAGTTCATAAAACAAAAATGTAAACATTTTTATCGTTGCAATTTGCAGTCGCGTTAATTTGTTAGTGTATAATAACAATTCAACTGAAATAAAATCACAGAACTATATTCGGCACACAAGGTGTGTAAATATAATAATCAAGTTAAATTTTGACGAAAGTAAAAGCGAAAAAAGCAACTGCTATACAGGAAACTGACCTGAGTGGAACTGTTGTTTCCAGGCTCAGATAAACTTTGCATTCTTATTAGTGACAACATTTCACTCAGTCTTCCCTGAAACACAATCATTATATCACACATAATGTTATCACACATAATGTTATCACACATAATGTTATCACACATAGTGCTATCACACATAATGTTATCACACATAATGCTATCACACATAATGTTATCACACATAGTACTATCACACCACATTCGGCTGAAAGCTGTTAAAACAACTGAATTGTGAAGAACGATGGATAACAGCAAACCATGCTACTGTTTTAACAAGTATATGCTAATGATCAATTTTCTAGAAGTTGACTCATTGCAACAATTTAATTGATAATTTGCCAATTTGGTAATTTATTATTATATTGAAAGCAATTAGCTGATTCAATGTAACAAGAGCTGCACAGTACCTTAAATAAGTTGGGAGCATTGAGTTCCTGCTGTATACTCTCTAGCTGCACTCTCAAATGTTCCTCCTCTGGCTGGAGAGAGAATCCTGCTTTCTTCTGTACCTCCACATCAACCATTACCTGTAACAGTGCACCTGTCTAGCTCTTTATTTACACAAATAGTAAACAAATTTAAACAATCTGCATTTGACAAAATTAAATTTCAAACTTTTCTCGTTTATTTCATTTATTTTTGTACAGCAGGAAATAAGTTGTAACCTGGAGGACTCTGTGGGTAAGCTCGGAATGTTTTCTCTTCAGCTGTTGTAGCCTGCTTAGTGTGTTTGCTTGAACCGCTCTGATGTCCTCTACTTCTTTTCCTGGACCAAGGAAACATTTCACAACCAGGCTTGATATTTTTTTAAACAACAAATTTTATTAACCGAACAATCAATTAATATAAACAAACACAGTAATAACTAAAGAACTAATATTACGACACAGATCCGTTCCTTAATATGACGTCACCACGATTATGACGTCACCACACTTATGACGTCACCACACTTATGACGTCACCTTACCAACCTATAAGTTCGACCCTTGCAAAGTGGGCCTCGCTCTGTTCCTTCTGTAACCTCAACCTCTCAGATATGGCCTTGAACCCTACCAGAGGTACAGGGATGAGTTTAACAGGGTCAGGGTTCTCCTGCTTGGCTTGTTCCCATAAGACAGGGCTGATTCCCACGGGAGGCTTGTCAAGGTAGAGGGACAGTTGGGAGGATGTGAACGCTACCTGGGTAAAGTAACGTGGGATTTAAATGTTTTAAATCTAATGTAATAATTAAGTTTAACATCTATACTGTAGTCTGTAGGGCCAGGGTATTCGCCTTTATTTGACAAAGCAAAATATTTCTGTATTATAAGTGAACCAGTTTTTGAAGTGCAAATTGGCAACACAATAAGTACATTTAATTAGTTTAGCAGCATTGCCTGGATAATACTAGACTACACTCATTTGTTTACTCAACTACAGTCTACAAACCTTGCTGATGACATTAGTAACAAACATTCCAGATTTGAGTTGGTTGGCTATGTTAGGTGAGGTGAGGACGGAAGCTAGGTCTGTAGCAGGGATGCGTTGTGTGGCCCCAGTAGGAGATCTTAGCAGCACGTATATTACAATCTGGGGATAATGGTTATCTTGCAGTATAACAGGTTATCAGTCCCCAGAACGTTGGGTTTTACCTAGGCCCGGAACTAAGATTTAAAACTCTAGTGACGGCTGTGAGGACTGAGGGGCTTGTGGCCCAGTGTTCTGATTATGGGGCTTGTGGCCCAGTGTTCTGATTATGGGGCTTGTGGCCCAGTGTTCTGATTATGGGGCTGGAGGCTAACAATCAGTAATAAAGGGTGATAAACAAACCTCAGTAGTGGAATTGTTGATTGACTTGACACTGTCGCAGCAGACCACGTGTTCTTGTTTCCCGCCCAGTATGGAGTGAAGTGAGGCTACCAGCTGAGTCTGGTTCTTGGTGACGTCATCAAGCGGCTTGCCAATAAATATACCCACCAAACCATCCTGAGATGTATAGGCTTAGTTAATGGTAAACCATGGTAAGATTACAAATTAGATATCAACTGCTTTTTTATCATATAAAAATGGCATGATAATTTTCAACTCTAATTCTAGGAAATTAATCAAGGTAGTATCAAGGTAGTATTTCCTTGATTTAAATCCAAAAACATCAAAACCTCGTTTTTGGTGGAAGGCAGTCTGCAGTATCCAACACTTTTGAATCTGGAGAAAGGAGATTCTGGAGTGATGGGAAAGGTGTTGCCAGATTGGTTGAGGATTACTGTGCCGTGCCCCCAATAAGCTTGCAACTGGTTGAACTTTGCGTACCTGGGAGAGTTTGTTGGTTATTCACACGAAATTGTGGATTTAACAGCTCGTATCGACAGAGACATTGCCCGCTTCAATCTATCATTATTGTATTACATCTTCCTTAAATAATATATTGTGGATAAAATTCAGGGTGTCTAGGTGATATATGAAATCAATGAAATCTATGGAATTTATGAAATCTATGAAATCTATGAAATATATGAAATCTATGAAATCTATGAAATCTATGAAATCTATGAAATCTATGAAATCTATGAAATCTATGAAATCTATGAAATCTATGAAATCTATGAAATCTATGAAATCTATGAAATCTATGAAATCTATAAAATCTATGAAATCTATAAAATCTGATGTCACTGGACACCCTGACTATTCGAAGAGAATGCTCTCCTGATTCATTATTTTCATTTTGGGTCATACATCTGAATCCCGATGGCACCATCGCGGCATTCTCGTGGCATTGTCGCGGCACTATGGTGGCACTATGGGTCATACATCCGGATCCTGATGACACCATGGCGGCACTCTCGTGAGTCGTGGCACTATGGCGGCACTATGGCGGGATAGTGCCAACTTTTAATCATATTCGTTCAAAAGCCTAAGACAATCATTGTACCTTCATCATTATCTTTTTACACTAATAAATAAAAACATTAGCCTTGTTGAAAATTGATAGTTGCAACTGGTGCAACTCTTCAATCAATCGCTCTATCAGCATTCCAATTGTGATTTACAATTGTGTCACATGCTACCAGCTTGAGATAACGTTCCGGCAGGATTGTTGCGATAATATTCCTGCAGGATACACTTGAGGTATCACATAGCAATAACAAGTCCCACGTGCAATGTTCAGTTGTTCTAGAATCTGGATTAGTATGACGCGGACGTTGGTATTAACTTGACGTGAGGCGTGTCATGTGAATGCTACGTTGTACCTTACAATCATGTCACAGAAGATGGCATATAAGACGAGCTCCTTAAGGAAATAGCATCAGTGATGGTCCACACTTCCCAGTGGGAATGTAAGCATGCCAAATCCGCCGTGCTCCGGGTGGCGAAGGAGTGGGAGGCGGGCGTCGTAGAGGAGATCTGGAACGGGAAGCTGATCCTCGTAGCTGGTGTACTTGAAAGATCGAGAAGTGTGAACCATCACTGATGCTATTTCCCTAATCCCTAAGGAGCTCGTCTTATATAACATCTTCTGTGACATGATTACAAGGTACAACGTAGCATTCACATGACACGCCTCACGTTAATTAAATACCTACGTCATTTCAATCCAGATTCTAGAACAACTGAACATTGCACGTGGGACTTGTTATTGCTATGTGATACCTCAAGTGTATCCTGCAGGAATATTATCGCAACAATCCTGCCGGAATAGAATGTTATCTCAAGCTGGTAGCATGTGACACGTCACCAGATCACGATTGTAAATCACGATTGGAATACTGATAGAGCGATTGATTGAAGAGTTGCACCAGTTGCAACTAACAATGTTCAACAAGGCTAATGTTTTTATTTATTAGTGTAAAAAGATAATGATGAATGTATAATGATTGTCTTAGGCTTTTGAACGAATATGATTAAAAGTTGGCACTATCCCGCCAGAGTGCCGCCATAGTGCCACGACTCACGAGAGTGCCGCATGATGTCATCAGGATCCGGATGTATTACCCATTTTCGGGGTTTAAATTGCATATTAGTTGTTTAAAGAGAATTCGTACTATTTGCCCTTTGTGGAGAATGCTCTCCTGATTCGTCCTTTTCATTCTCGGGGTTCAAATTGCATATTCGTTGTTTAAAGAGAATTCTTACTATTTGCCCTTTTGGGGAGAATGCTCTCCTGGTTCATTATTTTCATTCTCGGGGTTCAATTTCAATATTCGTTGTTTAAAGAGAATTCGTACTATTTGCCCTTTGTGGAGAATGCTCTCCTGATTCGTCCTTTTCATTATCGGGGTTTAAATTGCATATTAGTTGTTTAAAGAGAATTCGTACTATTTGCCCTTTGTGGAGAATGCTCTCCTGATTCGTCCTTTTCATTCTCGGGGTTCAAATTGCATATTCGTTGTTTAAAGAGAATTCTTACTATTTGCCCTTTTGGGGAGAATGCTCTCCTGGTTCATTATTTTCATTCTCGGGGTTCAATTTCAATATTCGTTGTTTAAAGAGAATTCGTACTATTTGCCCTTTGTGGAGAATGCTCTCCTGATTCGTCCTTTTCATTCTCGGGGTTTAAATTGCATATTAGTTGTTTAGAGAGAATTCGTACTATTTGCCCTTTGTGGAGAATGCTCTCCTGATTCGTCCTTTTCATTCTCGGGGTTCAGATTGCATATTCGTTGTTTAAAGAGAATTCTTACTATTTGCCCTTTTGGGGAGAATGCTCTCCTGATTCGTCCTTTTCATTCTCGGGGTTTAAATTGCATATTAGTTGTTTAAAGAGAATTCTTACTATTTGCCCTTTTGGGGAGAATGCTCTCCTGGTTCATTATTTTCATTCTCGGGGTTCAATTTCAATATTCGTTGTTTAAAGAGAATTCGTACTATTTGCCCTTTGTGGAGAATGCTCTCCTGATTCGTCCTTTTCATTCTCGGGGTTCAAATTGCATATTCGTTGTTTAAAGAGAATTCTTACTATTTGCCCTTTTGGGGAGAATGCTCTCCTGGTTGTTTAGAGAGAATTCGTACTATTTGCCCTTTGTGGAGAATGCTCTCCTGATTCGTCCTTTTCATTCTCGGGGTTCAAATTGCATATTCGTGGGGTTGGGGGGGGGGGGGGGTGGGGGTCACAATACCAAATAACACAACTCTTTTTGCCAATCCTCAAATCGAGTTATTTAGTGAAATGAAATGAAATGAAATGAAATGAAATGAAATGAAATGAAATGAAATGAAATGAAATGAAATGAAATGAAATGAAATGAAATGAAATGAAATGAAATGAAATGAAATGAAATGAAATGAAATGAAATGAAATGAAATGAAATGAAATGAAATGAAATGAAATTACTCTAAATAACGCTTAAATTACTCTAAATAACGCTTAAATTACCCTAAGACTCAATAACATCAAATAACACAGCTCTTTCGCCAAATTTCAAATAGAGTTATTTGGTGTTGTGACCCCCCACCCCCCCCCCCCCCCCCCCCCCATATATTCGTTGTTTAAAGAGAATTCATACTATTTGCCCTTTTTGGAGAATGCTCTCCTAATTCGTCCTTTTCATTTTCGGGGTTCAATTTCCATATTCGTTGTTTAGAGGGATGGTAGGAAGAGAAAGCTTCCTGGTGGGATGGCAGAAAGCTTTCTTGTGGGGAGAGTTGAAGAGAGGACGCTTGCCGGGGATTACTCTTTGGAGAGAATGCTCTCCTGATTTATCCTTTTCATTTTCGGGGTACTCTTACAAACATTGTTTATAAAGAATTCGCCCTATTTGGAGAGAATGCCCTCCTGATTCATCCTTTTCATTTACAGAGTTGAACTCCCATGATCGTTAATTAGACAAAATATTCTTTTCTTTCATTCTTTTGATTTGCAGACGACGTTTGGGACCCATCTTTTAATTACAAATCTGAGGTGAGGTGAGGTGTAGTGAGAAGTGATCGTATTCCTACTTGTATGTACTACGTGTTATAAAGTTACTACAAAGTCGTTAAACAAAAAGTAAAATAACTAAATAATAAGTACAGAAAATAAGTATCAACTTACAGCATGTCCCGTTCGTCTCCACAGATTATCGGAAGAGAAAGAGCTTGAGCAACAGTTGCTAGTGAGTTAAGATCTGTTATTCCACCTTGCTGCTGCTGCTGTTGTTGCTGCTGTTGGGTATTACCAAACAAACCACCGCCAGCCTAAAGGAGACGGTGTGGTTACTGTGGTGTGGTTACTGTGGTGTGGTTACTGTGGTGTGGTTACTGTGGTGTGGTTACTGTGGTGTGGTTACTGTGGTGTGGTTACTGTGGTGTGGTTACTGTGGTGTGGTTACTGTGGTGTGGTTACTGTGGTGTGGTAACTGTGGTGTGGTTACTGTGGCGTGGTTACTGTGGTGTGGTTACTGTGGTGTGGTTACTGTGGTGTGGTTACTCTCACTGATATCAATAATGAAAGAACCATTTTTTAGAAGAGCAAATTTGGTATAATTGAAATGAAAGCTTGGGACTTCACAATAATTATGATAATATTTCGATATAGAAATTATACCACTGTTTACGTTACCTGCTGTGGAGTGCTTCCAAAAAGTGAAGTACTGCCAGCTGCCGGCGTAGATCCGAATAAAGATGTAGTCCCAGCAGTCGCACTAGTATTACCAAATAAGGAAGTGCTCCCGGCCTTATTACCAAATAAGGAAGTGGTCCCCGTGTTAGCGGTGCCTCCAAACAGTGAGGTTCCCGTGGTAGCAGCACCGCCACCAAACAAACCGCCACTAGCTCCAGTGGTGTTACCGAATAAGCTAGGAGTAGCTGTGGTCGTGGCGGTGGGGGTTCCGAATAAACCTCCTGTAGCTGGTAATAGAATTATTAAACATGAGAGGCTTATGTAATATGTCTAATAAATATTACATCACTTATAAGTTATAAATCGTACGTCATTTTTATCATAATATGATATGATAAAAGAACGTTAAAAATTAAAAAGATTAAAATATAACACCAAAATAACTGAACTTAAATCCACAGCTAGGAGGCAAGTACCTGGTTTAGCAGCAGTGTTGAAGTTGAAGGCACTGCCGGTAGTACTAGTATTTGACCCGAACAGGGAACCCCCTGTTGAGGCGGCTGTGGTAGTGGCACCACCGAAAAGAGAGGTCCCCGTCGAGGCAGCTGTGTTTCCGAACAAGGATTTGGTACCAGTTGTCGATCCAGAGCCAAAAATTGAGCCGGTCGTTGAGGCAGCCGGGGTACCAAAGGAACTCTTGAACATAGCTACACTAAAGAATAAGGATTAGAATATCAATACAACTCAGGAAACCAAATTAAACTGGTGTTTATAGGCCGGACAGAATAACTTGCAGTCGGACTATAATATGGACGTGACGTTCTTATAATACATAACAGCAACGTTACACCACTGTAACCCAGCAACATTACGCCACTGTAACCCAGCAACGTTACGCCACTGTAACCCAGCAACGTTACGCCACTGTAACCCAGCAACGTTACGCCACTGTAACCCAGCAACGTTACGCCACTGTAACCCAGCAACGTTACACCAGCAACGTTACGCCACTGTAACCCAGCAACGTTACGCCAGCAACGTTACGCCACTGTAACCCAGCAACGTTACACCAGCAACGTTACGCCACTGTAACCCAGCAACGTTATGCCACTGTAACCCAGCAACGTTACGCCACTGTAACCCAGCAACGTTACACCAGCAACGTTACGCCACTGTAACCCAGCAACGTTACACCAGCAACGTTACGCCACTGTAACCCAGCAACGTTACACCAGCAACGTTACGCCACTGTAACCCAGCAACGTTATGCCACTGTAACCCAGCAACGTTACGCCACTGTAACCCAGCAACGTTACACCAGCAACGTTACGCCACTGTAACCCAGCAACGTTACGCCACTGTAACCCAGCAACGTTACGCCACTGTAACCCAGCAACGTTACGCCACTGTAACCCAGCAACGTTACGCCACTGTAACCCAGCAACGTTACGCCACTGTAACCCAGCAACGTTACGCCACTGTAACCCAGCAACGTTACGCCACTGTAACCTAGCAACGTTACGCCACTGTAACCCAGGAAACCAAACTGCTAACTATTTGCCCACTCAGAAGCTAGATGGCGTGACAATCGTATTCCTCTGATACTCTTAGAATTAGGCATAGGGATTAGCATTGTTAATAATAGGCTCAATGGATAAAATAAATGAAGATTTAAAATTTAAAATTGATCTCGAAATATAATAGCGAGACCAATTTCACAGACCTGCATCAATAACTTATAATAAAATGTAATAATTTAAAGTAAAAAAGTAAAAAACCTTACTTTTCAAGTTGTAAAAACATCCAGCTCTTTCCTATAAACCTTACACTTGTCTTTTAAAATTTTGATAGCCTCCCTCATTAATTCAAGAGGCTCAAGTGCCCCCGTGGACTCAATAGTGAAAATAAAATGGTCTCTAACTTTAAGAAGTTTAACTTTATCAGCAAGCTCACTGTGTCTTAAAACCTCTCTACTCCCCGTGTCCACTCGAGCACTTTTAACAACCGCTTCACCATCAACTATCTCAACAACCCCCGGAGAGAAACACCCCTTCAGTTTGTCAGCGAGGTGACCTCGGAAAGGTTGAAGAAGCTGAATCTCGGGCATAAGTCTGTAGGATGCAGTAGCGACGGGTGAGAATTTAGCATGGTCAGATCCAATACCTTTAACAGCGTGAAGTACCATGTCCAGCTCTTGGCCGGGTCTGAGTACGTTGACAAGAATGTCGTCCTCTGTAAACCTCACTCCACCTGGTGAAATTCTGAATAAATAAATAATAAAGGAACAGTTTTTAAAAATCTGATCAACTGTCATTATGGGAGATTAACTTTACCTCTTATATTCAGTTTTACATTTTTACATGGTAATTAGTAGAAGCGTGAAGAAAAAAAACAGAAATGGTGCATTCAATTTAAACTTATTTGACGTGCCATATGTCTTATATGTATAGGCTAAACCAAAAAAAAGCACAAACCTGGGATCCAGTTTTTCTGTTCACCAATGGGCTCCCATTCAATGGTCCTTGTGTAAACCTTAGCATTTAGATACAGCTCGTCTGGATTCGTAGTATCTGTCGGAGCCTTCTTGTTTCGCTTGCATCTGACTTTCAGTCTGAACTTTAGTGTGTTTCGCTCTGTAACTTTGTCACCCTTCTTTTTCATTTCAAATAGCCTGTAGATTGTAGAATACAACGATAAAATTGTGAATTCTGGAAAGATTTATAGAAAATTACAACACAAAATTCACGACATACTAAACGATTCTAAAGATTAGAAACAAAAGAAGAACAGAGAGTTGTTGTATGACTACCTGGGGTCGACATTTATTGGCAGAAGTCCAAGTCTGTGAGCTAGTACCTCATCCTGCATAACACTTGTATTATTGTTGATAAACACCTCCTCTACTGCCATGGTGGGTACCTCCGCCAGTAGTATCCTCCTGAACGCATTAGCAAACGGAGTATCAATCCCAATCATGTCAAATTCCACCTCACGAGCTGACCGAGATACGATCTCCAGTTTGAAATTGTTCTTAAACTTGGCATAGTTCCAGGAGTCATCGTAGCCGGAGTAAGTTCCCGGGTATTTGGAATCTTCAGTGTTTCGGACAGTGTGTAGGTCTAGGTGGATCTTGTTTCGTATCTCTTCTATGTGAGCCATACTAGATGGGATATTAATTATTAATATTACAAGTGAGTATAGTGAGCCATTACAAAATACAAATCAAAAATTATTAATAATCGCGGGCATACGAAATCATTGACACCCCCCCCCCCCCTCCATTAATTCCCATAATCGTTCTTCGGAGAGAATACTCTCCTGTAGAATTCTTATAAATTTTGTTCGGAGAGAATACTCTCCTGGTTCATCCTTTTCATTTAATAGTACTCTTTGGCAAGATTCTCTCTCTAATCATCCTTTTCGAGGTTCAACTTCCATAATCGTTCTTCGGAGAGAATACTCTCCTGTAGAATTCTTATAAATTTTGTTCGGAGAGAATACTCTCCTGGTTCATCCTTTTCATTTAATAGTACTCTTTGGTGAAATTCTCTTTCTAATCATCCTTTTCGAGGTTCAACTTCCATAATTGTTCTTCGGAGAGAATACTCTCCTGTAGAATTCTTATAAATTTTATTCGGAGAGAATACTCTCCTGGTTCATCCTTTTCATTTAATAGTACTCTTTGGCAAAATTCTTTCTCTAATCATCCTTTTGGAGGTTCAACTTCCATAATCGTTCTTCGGAGAGAATACTCTTCTGTAGAATTCTTACAAATTTTGTTTGGAGAGAATACTCTCCTGGTTCATCCTTTTCATTTAATAGTACTCTTTGGCAAAATTCTCTGTGTAACCTTGCTCTCCTCAGTTTGACCCTCACCTCGTTAAGAACAACAGAAAACTATTTACCAGATTTGTCCAAGACGCAGTATCATGTTACTCTGAATCCAACAAAAATAAATTAAAGACGGGAAGGCTTGAAAATGGCCAAATTAAAGATGCCGAAGCCTGCGCCAAAATTAACCGTCATAATTTTCATACAAAACACGGAGTATAACTCATCTAGTCTCCAACCAATTCTTCCTAACCTATAAACGAACACCGACCTTATCGTCTGTTTAAGCAAGTACTTGGAATCCAGTAGCCATCTGCTAGGTGGAGCGGATGAAACGCAGAGTTAATGAACAAAACTTCGAAGTAAACAAGATGTCAAGGGCAGAATGAATATCGCGGTTGCGAAAATAGTTGAGTCCTCCATGTAGATTCAGGATCATAAGTAGACATATGATGTAGAGGACTTGTGTGAGGTGAGGTGTAACCAAAATGCGAACTACCGGATAAAACGACTACAACAAGAGCACTACCAGAACAATGTGTGCGCACACGACATGTTGCTAGGTTACCTAAATTGCACGTGCATGAAGTTTCAATGCTGCTAACAGTTTTGTTGCACGTTAGCGTTTTTTCCTGGGCTTACTTGGCCAAGATAACAACAGTTTCCATGTCCTCAAAACAAAGCTAAGTTATTTATGAAAGCTTGAGAATTTTTTTTCAAAACGATCGAATTATATTCATCGCGCGCGATTAATATGCGCGCCAAAGACGCGTGAACAAGTCTACATAAATTGATCCGCGTATTACAGTACTCGTAAAATGTAGACCCTTTAGTCCTCCTGACCCATTTTACCAACTTGAAGGTGGAAACTGTACTCTGTGGCAAAGGATGCAAACCGCAATCGAAGGCAAAGGAGTACAGTCGACTGTTGTTAATGTAGGCCTGATGTTACAGAGGCGGACAAAAAGGCAGTTATTTTATCACTAAATTGAACCTCATGATCATGATCTAATAAACTTCATCAATTTTACAAGCATATTTTTCGTCTAATTTTCTCTCGGAGAATTCAAGATTTTATTACAGTATCTTTCACCAACTAGTTGAGTAACTTCAGATATGCCCAAATATTAAATCTAACGAAGTAAATATGCATTCCAGTTTCCTAGACCCAGATCCTTTGACACCAAGACAAATGAGGTTGTTAATGTCTGATTCACGTTTAATGAGGCCAGTCTGACAAGGGTCTCCGTGACCGCCTCATGAGAGTTCACAAGTCTAACAAGGGTCTGACAATGTACTAACAATATTGTCACGTGACATGTGAGAAGGACTATCTCACGTAACTACATGTCACTATCCCTCGTGTCTCATCACCTCATATGTTGGATATCTGAAACGGAATGTAAATACCAACAAGGAATGGAGACGAGCCCCACCCCCCCTCCCCCTCTGGCCTTAACATTCCCACCCAGATATAAATACTGGCTCTCATCTCCAAAGCAGTATCAATCGTTTACCAGCACCAATCAACTCTTCAACGAACACAACCGCTACTACTCTACAGAAGATGAAGTCTATTGGAAAAGCTCCAGAATTCGTTAAGAAGTACAAGCTTATCAAGCCACTCGGTGAAGGAGGTTACGGAGCAGTCTACCTATGTCAGAACAGAACAACAAAACAGCTCCTAGCAGTGAAGATAATGGACGACGCAAACTGCAGTAACAAGACCTGGTGTGTGAAGAGACAAGAGTGGTTACCCAACGAACTAGTCCTCTGGGAGTCCCTCTCTCATCCCAATATCCTGAACATTCTAGAAGTTTACAAAGATAACCACCAGTACACCTGGTACTTTGTTATGGAGTACCTCCCCGGATTTGAGGACCTCTTTATGCATATCGACAAGCACAGAGCTCTGTCCTCCAGAGACAGCGCACACATTATCAGACAGCTGGTTAACGTTGTTTACTATCTCACTCTCCAGAACATCGACCATCGGGACCTCAAGGACGAGAACATTCTCTACAACCCCGTCACCAAACAGATAAAACTAATAGACTTTGGTTCCTCTGCCAAGCTGTCCTCTGACCCTTACTCTTACTTCCGGGGAACAGCTGTCTACATACCTCCGGAGTATTTCTTGACAGGATCCTATCGTTCATTCCAGGCTTCTGTTTGGGCTATTGGCTGTATTTCCTTCGTCCTTCTTAACGGAGACTGCCCTTTTAACACCAGAAAGGAAGTTCAGGAGTTCAAGAATATGGAACAACTTAACCCGACCTACTCAGAGCGGACTCTGAGACTTAACTTCCTCAGAAGCTGTCTGGATCCCAATCCTGATGTCAGAATTATGTTGTCTGATCTTATTCGTCATCCCTGGCTCAGAGTTTGATTTTTATACTGCTTTTAAACAAATTGCTTCTTTTCTATCTAAAATGTTATGGCTATTTAACTGGAATTAAAATTATAACCATCATGTTTAAATTGAATATCTATTTTTGTTTACGTTTCATGCTATTACATTTTTTTGATATCCAGATTTCTCAATCTTCTTGTGTGTTTGATTAAACAAATCAATGATCATGATTATGTTTTTCTTCTCTTCTTGATAGCTTGATCCTTAACTTCGCCACTTATTCCCTCTTCTACCAGAATAGTGCTTGTTTATTCGTCACTCCTCTGGCTCAACCGACTGATACCGGATATCAAGGTCACGTGACTCCATACTGGACTCTAGACTCTAGACCGTTTCCTTGACTGAAATTTCACAGTTTTCATTGCATTTATTTATGACCAGTGCAAGTGATTAATCACTGATTGAAAATCAGTGAGGTCAGTTCGAGTGATACAAGTCACGATTGAGAATATAAAAGAGCCTCGAATCAGCCTGATTATTTGATCCAGCGACAGTCTCAACTGAATCACCAGCCAGTAGCCAGTAACATGCAATTCAGAGTGCACTACTTTACAATACCAAAAGAATCGATACTATTGATAAAAACTTGTGTCCCAATCTTAAAGTTGTAAATAACGTCCCAGTTTTATATTTTACAGAAGAGATTTATCACTCGAAAGGGTCTGGTAGTTAGCATAGAAGTCACTCTGTGCTCTGGACCAGGTGTTAACCCTATCAAGAGAATATGAAATTAAACTGTCAAATCTGGTTCTCTTCATATATTTTACAATCAAAACGAACGTGGCTTTTGGTCAGCAGGTGTGCATCCCCCTACACGACTAGTATGAAATATAAAGTTCGTGTTTTGTTAAAATCTGATCACTTCTTATTTACTGTTAAATCCAGCCGAGTTGAAGGGCATGGATTTGTATTTTTGACATTTTGTTGACATTTCCTGACAATGTTATAGACTACATGTTATATACTACATTTCTACAATATGTTATAGCACTTAACTAACCTAGACGTCCAAATTGACAATAACCTAAAAAATGTATTATATAATTATATAATCATGAAAGATACTCGATATTTTTGAAATTCCTTGCAATGTAAAAATATTCATGATTTCTTTCCTGATAGAAAAACACAACCCTGCTCGCTCTCCTAACATCTATCCAAATAAGGAAGTTAACAATACAAAGTAATACACAGAGTTATGAGATACATCACAATTACGCTTATTGCTTTGACAATCATCCCAATCGAAAGGTAAGCCCTAGCCCTATTGAAGAAAGTTTGACATTCTTTGACATTTTATAAGCGTAACCATGTCATCTTGATTTAACATTTCCATTCCTGGTCATTTCAAAGATATGTATCAATTTACAGTGTATAAACCGTCACATATAATTTTCATCATATTTTAACAGTGGAGAAATTAAACTATCATCTATCCTATATTATAGTTAAATTTAACCCTATTTTCAGTTCTAATGAAGCCAACGGAAACATTGCATTTGGTTTAACTTCAGCGTACTTTTGTACAGGAGACAAATCTTGGACTCAAAAGATCAAGGATCCTATCATAGGAGGATGTATGAGCATTATAAAACAAATGATATGTGATGAAGCGCTGGACTTAAGACATTTCACCAACATGACTATGACAATGATTACCAACTTGGCAGTTTCTGACGAGAAGGAGAAGTTTGAAAAGTGTCTCCTGGATAGTTCTACCAAGTTATTCTCTCGTATGTTTTGTGAAGATAAGAAGGAATACAATTACCAAGCAGTCGTTTATTATGGTATGTACATAGCCAAATGTACAGCAGATAAAAATGTCAAACACACGACATGTGAATTTTTCAGGGCAATGCTCAGTGATCAAGAGTTCGTTCAATTAGTAATGGGTTACTTGTGCCGGCTAATACCAATGAACAATTATTCCCAGCATAGAATCTCAAAAAGACAGTACTCCTTGCAAAGCGTGATTTATCTCTTCAAGGAGTATTCCTGTGACATTTCAGAAACCCTGAAGGATATACTTGACGTAGCTCAGAGCAAGTTTTCCTATTTGAACAGGGACAGTCCATTTCGAAAGTATGTGGATTGGAATCTAATCAATGAAATAGCACCTCAGTATTTGTGCTGCTTTGCTGATGCAATGAGCACTCACACTAGCAAGCATGTTTCATCAGCTGTTAAAAGTTTTACTTTTCTGGTTGTCTTGTCTGTTTCAATCCTCACCTTAATGTAGAAGATAATACAATCTAATATATTTAGTCTGATTTACTAGTGTCAAGTCAATGTCCAAATAAAGTACTCCTAGAGCCAGGCAGAACTGTTTACTCTGCCTGTTGCTAAATGTTATAATTCAAAATATGGAAGAATAATCAGTGCTATTTTTGAGACAGACCTACTCTAGACCAAATTTTAAAATTGAGCCCCTTAATTTTGATATTAAACCCCATATTTAAGTTCCTTGAAAAAAACGAAGTGTTTTTGGGATCTAGATTGCTTATCTGAGAAGTTATATAAGTACAGTTAACTCTTAACATCAGTATTACATGGTGACTTGCTAAATAATAAGTACTAAAAATTCACATTACAATTCAACATGCTGACAAGTAACTAACCTCTTTACTGGCTCCAATGCAATTTTCTTTTGGCACAACTTTATCTCTGTCATGGCACTGTCTTTTTCATATTTTACGGACTTGCTTGAGAAAGAAATGATTAGACGAATAACAATAAACTGTTCACTGGCAATTATTTAAATATTATACACATGTATATATATATATTTATATTATATAATATATTATATATATCATAATATAGTTTTGTATTAATTAAAACAATGCAAATCTTTTACATTTATTTAGTATTATTATGTAATGGGATGGAAATTATTTAACAAGGTATAGCCAGTCCACACCCTGGCTGGCTCCATGATGTGAAGGAATTGTTTTAATTTTAAATGAAAAGCTTGAATATAATAGAACGTTAAATGGATAGAAACTAAAAAAACAAAATATTCAACATGTATTCTGACCTCGAAGTCTTCCAATAGATCTGATTTGAGAGAAAGCAACAAAAAAATTTAAAACTTCTGTAATTTCATTTTTGTTTTAGTTACGCATTTGATTTTTGATATGCGTATAGAAAATCGATGTCCGGAAACCTCCTAGCTGACTCACGAGACTCAGTAGGAGTGATTGAACTGCGAGGGACAATTGAGGCTAACAAATTAGCCTCATCACTTTCAAAAAAGAACTTTCTCGTGTTACGTCCATGATATCCAAGTTGCAAGTATAATCCATAGTGATTATACTTGATTGAAATCTAAGCTTCAAATATTCGAGGTGAAAATGAGGCGAACCACCTTTTGAGAGGGTAAAATGAGGCTAACAAGTATACTTTTGTGTATATTTTCGAGCAGGTTTGGTATTGTGACTATCTAATGTGTCAACAATAAAGATTGATTCATCCTCTTCAAGCTTAACATTTCAGAAATCGTTGAGTCTACTTGTAGGAGGCCAAAATGAGGCTAATTAAGAATTCGACTGCATTTTAACTTTAATGTGCGGAAACAGGTTATAGACCCACTTAAAAAAGTGTTATTGCAGCCCAAAGGTAATTGAGGCTTTATCATAAGTTATGTGAGGTTGGATTGAGGCTACCCTCTAACCTTATTTATCTTTGGTCAAGGCAAAAATTAAATCTTACAGTAAATAAAAGCATTCAACATTAAAACTATCACTTGTTGAATATTATAATAAGGGTGACAGGATTTAGCCTCAATCTCACCTCCCAAAACTCATGTCAGGTTAGTATATTATGATTGTCGACTATTCATGAATACAGGTTAGACAGAAACGATTTGATGGGCTAGTCCAAAGAAGCAGTAGAACAAGTAATGAACAAACCTTGATAGTTAGCCTTATTTTACCCTCCATCAAAAGACAGGAAGGGTAGATACAGTCGAGTCTAACATCGACCTAAAGTATCTATTATATAATGTATACCAGGTCAAAGTTTAAAGGACGTTATTGTTAAAAGATATAATTCTGAAATTAGAAATGATCTGTTAGCCTCACTTTACCCGGGGGGAGATCATACACTTAGTGCCGGACATCACGTTGGTGGGTGGGTCATTTTTTCTTCTAAAAACACAGTTAGTACATGGTACTAACTGGTGGGTCTACTGCCCATTTTCCAAAAAAACAGTTAGTACATGGTACTAAAGGGGGTGTCTAACCCCAAAAAAAACCCATTTTACCTCAAATTTCAATTTTGGGAATGGGTTTTGAGGTTTTTAAAGTTTTTTTTTGGGTTTTTTTTTAATTTTTAAAATTTTGTAAAGTCTTCCTTTAAAATTTAATTGAGCTCTTTTTTTAAAAAAGCAATTTCTGGGTGGGTATCTTATTCTATATACCAAAAAACAGTTAGTACCACGATTTTTTCGACAGTTAGTACCGCAAAAGGCGGCAAAAGGGGTGGGTGTCTTACGTATTATCCAAAAAAACAGTTAGTACCGCAAAGGGGGTGGGTGGGTCTAGTGAAAAATATCCAAAACTACACTTAGTCGACGTTAGGCTATCCATTATCGGTATGAAATCTTTTATCTAGATAAACAGATAAAAATTTAGGTTTTATCTAGATAAAACAGATAAAACCGATAATTTTTCTGCTGAAGGCCAAAGCCAAAATGTTTTCCAAATTTCACAAAAACTGATTGTCGACTTTTATTACTGTTTACCAGTAATCTTGCTAAAGTACAACTTCCTTTCTTTTGAAAATATTAGAGCATCAGTTTTCTTCTCCGGGCCGGAGAACAATAGTGTACCAGTTCTCTTCAAAACAGTAGACCAACGGTTTGTCTTCTCCTAAGAACAGTAGTGTACCAGTTCTCTTCAAAACAGTAGATCACCGGTTTCCTTCTCCTGAGAACAGTAGTGTACCAGTTCTCTTCAAAACAGTAGACCAAGGGTTTCCTTCTCCTGAGAACAGTAACGCACTAGTTCTCTTCAAAAAAGTAGACCACTGGTTTCCTTCTCCTGAGAACAGTAACGCACTAGTTCTCTTCAAAACAGTAGACCACTGGTTTCCTTCTCCTGAGAACAGTAACGCACTAGTTCTCTTCAAAACAGTAGATCACTGGTTTCCTTCTCCTGAGAACAGTAACGCACTAGTTCTCTTCAAAACAGTAGATCACCGGTTACCTTCTCCTGAGAACAGTAGTGTACCAGTTCTCTTCAAAACAGTAGACCAAGGGTTTCCTTCTCCTGAGAACAGTAACGCACTAGTTCTCTTCAAAACAGTAGACCACTGGTTTCCTTCTCCTGAGAACAGTAACGCACTAGTTCTCTTCAAAACAGTAAACCACTGGTTTCCTTCTCCTGAGAACAGTAAAGCACTAGTTCTATTCAAAACAGTAGACCACTGGTTTCCTTCTCCTGAGAACAGTAACGCACTAGTTCTCTTCAAAACAGTAGATCACCGGTTTCCTTCTCCTGAGAACAGTAACGCACTAGTTCTCTTCAAAACAGTAGATCACCGGTTTCCTTCTCCTAAAAACAGTAGTGTACCAGTTCTCTTCAAAACAGTAGACCAATGGTTTCCTTCTCCTGAGAACAGTAACGCACTAGTTCTCTTCAATACAGTAGACCACCGGTTTCCTTCTCCTGAGAACAGTAACGCACTAGTTCTCTTCAATACAGTAGACCACCGGTTTCCTTCTCCTGAGAACAGTAGTGCACCAGTTCTCTTCAAAACAGTAGACCACCGGTTTCCTTCTCCTGAGAACAGTAACGCACTAGTTCTCTTCAATACAGTAGACCACCGGTTTCCTTCTCCTGAAAACAGTAGTGCACCAGTTCTCTTCAAAACAGTAGACCACCGGTATCCTTCTCCTGAGAACAGTAGTGCAACAAATACCAATTCTCCTCGAAACAGTAAAACATTTAAAGTGATTCAGTGAACCGTTTCCTTATCCTGTGGATAACTTAAGCAACAGATTCCTTCTCCTGAACACAATGTTTCACGCCTAGAACACTTACGGGATTTAATTGAGTGCCCTGCCGGTATTTTTGACTCTTGTTAACAGTAACATGCTCGTTCCTATCTCCAGAATGGTTGTAAGGTAGAACGCCAGCACCCTAGCCTCAAGATAACAATGTCAATAACTTTTTCTAGACTTCTACAGTTCTACAGTTCTACAGTTCCATAGGTATACAAATGTAAATAAACCTCTTAAGCTCACATTTAAGTAAACTACGTCTTCTATCATACTATAAAACGTTTGGGACTGTTTCTTGGATTACTTGGGAAGGCAAAAAACACTAATATTTCTTTAAAATGTTACGGTATTGTGGCAGTTTTTTCGGTAATTTCTAGTGAATTTTTATACCGATAAAAATATGTTTTATCTAGATAAACAGATAACCTTTTTTAACGAATTATCGGAGATAATTATCGGTAACGATTATCGGAGTGGATAGCCTAGTCGACGTGATGTCCGGCACTTGGTACCTGATCCCCCGGCCCCCCCCCCCCCCCCCCCCCCCCGCTTTACCCTCCATTAAAACGAAAAAAGGGGTAGGCTGGGCCTAGAACATCCATCTCATGTAATTTAGGTCAGAGGATATTTTGATAGACATTATTATTCAAATATAATTCAAAAATTAGAAATGACTTGTTAGACTCATTTTTTTCTCAATTAGCGAAAAAATGTCCCTCTTCTCTCGGATTCTGAAAGAGTGAGATCTGACGAATCGATTAAACACGTTCAAAATTTGATTGCATGCTTGGAAACTGTCATTAGAAAAAAAATGTAAAATGACTCGTTAGCCTCAATTTCCCTCTACTAAATGTTTCAAAAATTGTTTTAATCGAAACTCAATTTAGTTGAACTATAGACATGTGAAATATCAATGAAACAATAAGTTTTCAATGAAACAATAAGTTCATATCTTGCCTTAAAGTTCTTCCTGTGGCAATCTCCTAAAGTTAAATTGGGAAAAACGTGGTCCATCTCGTGCAAACTTTCCTAATGACCAGGGTCCTAAATAATAGTAATAATTCTATACAGATACATTATTGCAATTGTGGGCAGAGTATGTGCCTTTGTTGAAGTGTCCAGGTATAAAACTTATCTGAGTGACTGCATTAAAATAATTTAATGAGAGTGCTCTTAAAACTGCAAGGCAATAGCTATAGAGATAAATACTAAGACCTACTAAAATCAAAACAGAATGCACTATGCAGTATGCAGCCAACTAGTTTGTTGTTAAGCTTTCTCCAACGATTGAATGGAAAGGACCCATCTTTGGCGAGTATTAGGAACTTACAAATACCGTGGTTTAAGTTTGCAAGGCATGTGGACTAGGTCAATGATTATTCCATATTTGACGCAATAAAGAAAAAAATGTAACACAGAGTGAATCGCCACAACACTTACAATAGACACTGCTAAATTGTGTAAAATTCTAAAATATCCCCGTTCCCCAAGATTTATTCTACAAAGCTGCCATATAGCCTGACTGACAATTTTCTCGACTGTCTGACAATGTTTCTTCTTTTCCCCATTTAGAATATAAAGATTAGTACATTTTAGCTTATGATTAATATTATATTTTTACTTATAGTTTACCTAGATTCCACTACTATAACATTAGTTAATGAAACATTTTTAGCAACATCGGGATGAAACCTAATACAAACTAGTTGTGGTAAAAGATAAGGCATTGTGAATAAAATAATTGCGGTGCTTTTAAATGTTTTGATTCCAACTAAACCGGGTTATATACAAAACCTAGTAGCGCTCGATTTTAAATAACGAATAAATATCTGGTATACGCGCGCGGCGCGCCTTAAATTTAAATTTTATCCAGATGTTTTTTACTGGGCGGCACTCAGCCTGTAATTTTGCCGCAGCTTCTATGAACACTAACAGCATGGGATCCCTGCAAGTATATTGTTGTAAACACATATTTTAATAAATTCAATTGTATTAAATATTATGTATTTAGTATTAAACGCTATGTTCATCCATGCTATATTACACACTTGCCAAATTTAATGTGTGCTCATGAATAAATCAAAGTTGAATGTTTATTGACGATGTCAACTTTTCCAGACAGTTGCTCTGCAAGGTGAAAATGATAATTTGCACGGCGCGTCCTCCAAAGTTGAGTGCAAATATGAAATAATTTTGCTTTTAGCTTATATATTGGCGTCAGGCAAATAATTGATAATATTACAAAAAAGAAAGGAAAATTGCGCGCGCTATACTTCGAAAAAATTCAAAAAAGATTTATTCATATTGATCATCCATAACCTTTTTGCATATCCGCGCGCGTACGTGTGAGACTGAGAAAAGTAAAGTTGGCAAGCGAGCATTAATAGTGAATAGACATAAAACATTATATTAGACTTCAAAAATTAAACGCTAGGTGACCCCGTGATCTGAGCATCAAATTTGTTTAGTTTCCATGAGGGGTCCAAATTTAGAAATAGAATCATTCGAAGCTATAAATGCAAAAGTTGCCCTACGATGCGCGGCGTGCCCCCATTTCAAATTACTTTGTATTACGTCGTGACCCCCATTGTCGTTTCATTAAGTGGCGTCACCCCTGTTATGTAGCGTTTCTATGATACAGGGGGCCACGTTCACATAGCCATCATGTGCATACGCGTACTGCGTTCACATAGCCATGTGTCTACGCGTACTGCAAGCGAGAGGGCTCTGGTTATAGCAACGTACTGCATGACGCGCTTGTTTCATTGTTTGGCGGTCGCGCGCTACTGCAAGCGAGAGGGCTCCGGTTAGGGTAACTGGGTAAGGGGCCGGCCGCGCACTCGTGCGCGGCGGGTCATACAATTGTAGCGCGATGCACTACTGGGTCGCGCGCGCATCCAATAATGATTCTCGCAACCAGAATCTGCTTAAGCAGATCGGCGAGATGCGAAGGATTGACATCGTCAATCAAGTCATACAACGTATGACAAAGATTGCTAAGAATATTTTCATGAAAGCAGCTTACTCATTACTTGTCATACGTTGTATGACGCGCCGCGCACGAAGTGCGCGGCTCCCCCTGTATCGTCAGGACGATAAAGTATCGTCAGGATATATTATATATATTATATATATAATAGTGAAACGACCGTGGGGGTCGCAACGTGATACAACTCATTACTGGGCGGCGCTCAGCCTGTCATTCCGCCGAATCTCTATTTTTATGTTTATGAAAATTAACATAGCCTGGGGTCCCCAGGTAATGGGTAAGAAAGCAGCAAGCTCAGTAAGACTTAGAGTTACCTGGAGACCTCAGGCTTTCTCTGTTCATAAACAGATTGAAGATGCAGCGAATGGCAGGATCAGCGCCTCCCAGTAATAATGGCAATGCCTGGTAACATCTGGTATGCTATTTTATCAGTTCTCGTGAATACAAATGAAGATACAAAAGTTATTGTATTGTAAGTAAACATAAATGAAAAAATTCGATATCAATGTTCTATAAAATGCAATTCAAATAACAAATCCTCAATTTCGACAAAGAACACGAAATTGAACTTCCAGGCAAAATAAACGTAATTAAATGCTATTCAATATGGCATTTAATAAAGATTATGAGCAACAAAATCAACACTGAACTATCGATAAAGTTTGAAGTCTGAATCTGTCAAATGCAACAGTAAATGCAGCATGTTTATGGACAAAAGTCGATCAAGTAAATTATCCAAAATTTAAATCATAAATCGCCAAATTGAAAACCAACTTTTATGGTCGCTCATTACCATTCTAACATCTTATCGCGACACAATATTATCTCTATATCTAAGAAAACACTTTTATATACTTTTTAAGCAAAACCTAGAAAACCAAAAGCCAGCACACAGTAACATCTCATCTAAAGTTCATTATAAATATGTATCTAACTCCATAAAAGATATTTGGATCAAACGGGAAACTTTAGTATGTACACTGCAACTACTATGTACTACTCGTCAATCTTTTTTCATGCATTTTAGTGTACTTTTTAGATGATGTTTCTGTTCCTGAACCCTGAGCAACTCTATCCTGAGCTCCCTGGCCAGAGTGAAGAGCGCGCTGTTGTGCAGCTCGTAGTCTCTGATCATGGTTCTCAGATCTGCCAGGTCGGTTTCTTTGAGCTGCTCGAAGTCTGGTTCCGTGTGCGCCACATCGTCAAGATTCCACATGTCTGGGGGCAGCCGGGTAATTAGGGTATAATATACACATATATTATATTACATTGCATATTAATGCACTGATATAAACTTGGAGTGTTATAGTGATAACTATAACACTCTGATAACTTAGTCAGTCCAACACTAAATTGAAATTAGTAGACTAACAAGAATTGCGCATCCACTGCATGACGGATAAAAGGAATACCCCCCCCCCCCACCACCTAATCTCATCAATCTCCTTAACCCCTCTTTTGGGGGGGGGGGGGGGTGGGGGGGGGGCAACCAGAGTTGAGACACAGTTAATAAACTGCGGAGTGACTAAAAATGCTATACAGCAAAAACAGAACGCTCCAACCAAACACTCCACCTACTGAACCTAACCACCCTAACAACTCTCTAGCTCTCTCTCTTCAACCCTCATTCCCTCACTCCTCTTGGTGCACAAAACCATTCTAACCTATGTATGTCCCCCCTACGGGTTCCACAAGCCCAACGGTACATAGTTAGACGAAAAACAGAGAAGCCTTGATTGCCAGATCAAGGACTGCATCAGTAGCAGCGAAATACGGATATACCTTCTCCCTTACAGTCAGCGAGCTGACAACTATCTGACTGTGTCTTTTAGGCCTTGCCACACCACCTTCGCTATTGCATCCGCTCGCCCGTATTCACTGACACATGCCACACCTGGGTTTAGTATGAAGATGTACGCATATTCACCCAAGATGCGGAGATGCCTCAGTTTAGCGAGTTGAGATACAACAGCAAACTCACAGGAGCATGGATCAGAATCATCAGTTACCAACCTGACACCGTTTCGGGGCTTTAATCGCAATACGGTTTCCTGTCAGGCGCCCCAGCAGTCCACCCTTGAACCACCATCTGATCCGAGAGTCACTTGAGGAGACCCGTTAGAGCTCGCAATTGGCGACGAGATAACGTTTATGGTACCTCTAGATGTTATAGTGAACTCTCAAGCTCCAACCTTCCTGAACTCCCACTCCCTCTTTCTCGATAACAAATAAATCCATCTGGAACAGTGGGCTGCCTCTTTCCCGCTGTCCCGTACCAGCTTCTTCAGCTCTCTTCCCCTAAAACCAATCCTCCTCGCAGCTGTCTCCAAACTCTGCGCAACCACTCCCCTAGCTCCAACTTCGACTGCGGCATTATAACAGCACCAACCTTTCGCCTGAATCTCAGCCTGCAGACCGCTGTATCGGTCGAGCTTGTACTCGTGCGATTCAGCGATCCGCTCTTCAGATGGTACTGTTAGCTCCCACCAAATAACTGTCTTTGCCGACCTTGAGAATATCACAAGGTCCGGCCTCAGCCGTGTTTCCACAATCTCACTGGAAAACTTAAGCTGCCCCTCAAGGTCTGACAGCACTATCCAATCCCGATACCCACTCAGGATCCCAAAACCACGACTCTTCTTCCGGTCGTCTGTACCTGCTTTTCTTTTCCCAGCAGGAACAAAATCAATGAACTGCCTTCCATCGCCGGCCTTGTTCTTATAAGTGTTCACTCGGCGATCACAATGGAAGACAACCTGTTCAGAGATCTGCTTCAGAACTTTGTCGTGCCGCCATCTATACCTTCCTTGACTAAGGGCCACCTTACACCCAGCCAAAATGTGCTGAATGGTGCCCATCCTCTCCTCACATAACTTGCACTTCCCATCCTCATCTTCACTCCACTTGGAAACCATAGAGGGGGTTAAGAGGGTGCCGTACACAGCACTTAGCATGAACCCAATAAGTGAGTCACCATACTTAAAAAGTGTATGCCAGCTCAAATCCGTCTCCATTACGAGCTCTCTCCACCCACCCCACCTGCTCTGCATCTCCAGAGAACCTACTTGCACCTCCCTCTCTCTTTCAATGTTCTCCTTCACTCTCAGCATAACCTCCCTCTCTCTTTCCCGCTCATCCATCCTCTCCCAAGGTTTTTTCCAGTCACCAAAACCGATGCCAACTCTTTTTTGAGGTTGCACCATCCCTCGCACCGATTCACAGACCATAGTGATAACTATAACACTCTGATAACTTAGTCAGTCCCAACACTAAATTGAAATTAGTAGACTAACAAGAATTGCGCATCCACTGCATGACGGATAAAAGGAATACCCCCCCCCCCCCCCACCACCTAATCTCATCAATCTCCTTAACCCCTCTTTTGGGGGGGGGGGGGGGGGGGGGGGGACAACCATATTAAAGTATATTAAAATAAAGGATTTTTCCCGATTTTGACCCGGGGATATACTTTAATATACTTTAATATATCCCTATCTCCTTGGAGGCCTACATCAAAAATTGTTGCCCAAAATAAGCTTGAAATGCAATTCTTAATCGATTCCAAAAAGTTCTTGAAAAAATATTGAAAACTGATGGAGTTATTTCAATTTTAATGAAGTCATTTTGGCTAGTATTCCGAACCGAAATATTATGTGCAATTTTCCCAATTTTGTTCATGGAGGTCTTTTTACTTAGTATCCACTATATTCAACAAACACTGAGTTATATCTTTCACATAGAGTTAGTCTCATTAAAAAATATTGAAATTTTATCGAATTTGGGCAAAAGCGAATTTGGGAAAAGCGTATGCCCAAATATGGGCATATTATTTTAAGCTCATAGCTTAGCCAATTTTTGACCAATCTGGATGGAAATTCATGTACTAGTCCTAAAAGAGGCTTATCTTGCGAATCTGAGTGAAAAATATAGTTCATCATGTAAATCTTAACGAAGAATATAAATCTTCTAATTGTAGGTATATTAAAGTATATTAAAATGTAGGATTTTTTCCGATTTTGACCCGGGGATATACTTTAATATACTTTAATATGGTTGCCCCCCCCCCCTCTTTTCACTATTGTCCATTTCCAACCATCCTTTTGCTTCGCTAAAATTAACTTACAAATTAACTTAAATTATTACTAACCTTTTTCAGCTTTAAGTTCCTCTTCATCTGCCTCAAGGTCTTCCTGAAGACAGAATTCATATGTAGAGAGAAAAAAAATTAGTGTTTTTAATTCAATGCAATTGAATACCAAAGACAGCTTAAAATGTTCATTTTTCAATACGTAAAGGAAATACGAACCAACTGAAGTTTGTTCTGACAAGTTTCCTCGTGGAGTGATTGAAAATCTGGTAATTTAAAGCCGTCTGGGCAGTATGTTAACATTGCAGAGTCGACCGAGCCCGATCTGTGTCCTCGAGCCATGGCAGGTTGTTCCAATCGCAATATCGGCAAATCAGTCTGTCAAACAACGAGTGTAAACAATAATGTTAAGAAAAATGTAAAGAAATTCCTTATCCGTATCGTAAAATAATACTCTTTTCCAGGTAGGGGTATTTTTTGTCATGTTCTTCTTAAGTGTATAATTAGTGATAGAGAACGGATACTAATTATTGTGAAGTAATCTACTTCCACGACGCAGAAACACGATTTAGCCGCGCCGGTTGCGGGATCGCACAATTTTCCATATATTTTCTGTATTTATTTGTGATTTTTGTCGCACTCAAATGATGCTCCTCCCATAACTGGTGTAACTCACGTGGCCATCCAGTGCTTCCGCGACATTCTTCTCAGTCGTATCTTCTTGTGATGTCACCAGATTCGGCGTGACGTCATCAACACGGGGCGTGACGTCATTATCATCCTCACCGGATTCCTCACTATCACTATCGATCATCTCTCCCTCATTTAGAACTATTGTTGGAGCTTCCATGAGCTCAGCTTCAGGTAGCTCGTCAGCCAGCCTCTCATACCCTAGTGGGAAGTTTAAGTGAGGTATATTGTTAGTAGCTACATTAGATCTGCACATCAATTCTAAATAGTCAACGATTCCCATTCCAGAGAATATATATTTGAATTACCTGATGGGTCATGATTGACACTATTTTCAGAACCAGACGTCACCTCCCCATCTTCCGCTGAAGTAGTGGTAACCTCTACTGGAGATCCCTGTTCTTCCTCTTCCGTCTCTTCGTCTTCTTCTTTTGTTTCTTCTACTTCTTCTTTTGTTTCTTCTACTTCTTCTTTTGTTTCTTCTACTTCCTCTTTTGTTTCTTCTACTTCCTCTTTTGTTTCTTCTACTTCTTCTTTTGTTTCTTCTATCTCTTCTTTTACTGCCTTTACTTCTTTTTCTTTTATTTCTTTTGCTCCTTCTATATTTTCCTTAGCTTCTTCTTTTATTTCTTCTTCTCCTTTTTCTCCTTTTTCCTCCGCTTCTTCTTTTTCCTCAACAAGGATAAGTGAGGAGGGAGGTGGACTGGAAGTAGGAGGACTGGAGGGAGGGGGACTACAGGGAGGAGGGCCAGTAGGAGCGGCCGAAGAGGGCCTCCTGCGCGGAGGTCCCATATCTGGTCTTGAGGGTCGTCTCGTTTTAGTTGATGGAGACAAAGCAGGCGGGGGTGGAGCTGGAACTTTGTCTTCGTCTTCACTACTTTGTAGCAGAGCTTCTACGTCTGAATGTTTTATAGATGTTATATTATGACAAAATCGGCAAAATGTACTACAATTTTAAAATTCCATGTACATGTATCCTGATTCCTGGATAAGGTTCGCAATCAAATAAATACCAATTCTAATAATTTTCAGGAAAGCGTCCAGTAATTATTAATATGAAAAGCGCAGAATATCCGAATAATAACTCATCTTACCGTCATCTCCTTCCTGAATCTCGAGCTTAGTTATGAAATCCCCGACTTCTTCATAAGTCCTTTCTCGTCTGATCGGCAGTTTTGTGTCACTTAGTGCCTGTTCTGGAGGGAGAGAGAAGTTAGGAAATAAAATTGAGAACTGTTCACCAACGTCACTAATTCACACAAAAAAATTATTAATTTACAACGTGACCTCCAGACTGCTCGGGCAGCTGTCAAAAAGAGTTGAAGTTAAAATTATCAGTTTGTCTAAAATCGAAGTATAAATTGCCGTACGTGTTGGTAAATTCCCATACTGATGACAGCAGATCATTATCAAATAAACTGCCACTAATACCCTCAAGGCTCAAGGTGACCTCCCTTTCCCAGAAGATGAGAATACTAATTCACTCTTATTATCCCAATTAGTAAGCAACCATTATCATGATTACACTTACAAATATTGAGGCAGTGTCCCGATTCCTAGTTCCTGCTTGCACTTAACTTCCGTATACATTACCACTTGCTTGTGAACCTGTGTTCCATGTAAACACGTGATACAACTGGACACGTGACTAAAACGTGACACCCATGAAATTTTAACTCGGATGTTAAACTTCGCATAAACCTGAACAGTCGTACCCTTATCGTTTATCAACCTTCACGAACTTCTCTTCTCTTGAGTTGAAACTAGTAAATTTGTTTATTGTACCTGACTAATGAAGATCACACTACCTTTACTACGCGGTAAGAAGCCCAGTAAACCTGTCTCCAGAAGTAAGTCCTGGGCTGAGAAGAGCTCAGTAAAAATGAAAGCGTTGTGGAGAGACCACAAATCAGAGGGTCAGCAGGTTGAGTTTCACAGTGTAAAATCAGAGGGTCAGCAGGTTGAGTTTCCTCCACCTAAAAAGAGGTTTACCTCTTCTCCTGATCTCTCATCGTGTTCCAACGTGACGACATGTTGTGGTAGGAGCTGTGGTCACGCGACAACTAAGCGTGCTACAATCAGTGCTGCTAAACTCAAACCTCTAGTCAACCAAAGAGATTCGAATAATGGGTCTGTATTTTCTTCTCCTACCTCATCACTAAATCTCTTATCTTCTCCTACTTCTTCTATAAATACAGTTTCATCCGGAGTAAGTTATCCGTTACAGATAGCACAGCTTTATCAGATAAAGCAATCTAGTCTAACAATGATTCTACCAGACCGGCAAGATAGGTTACCTCCACCAGATAGGTTACCTCCACCAGATAAACCGATAAGATCTAAACATGCAGTAAAGAAGAAGAAGGAGGTGGCGTCATCATGTGTACAGTGGGACTGCGTGGTGTGTACTCTGGCGAGGCCTCATCTCAGACACAGAGTTCATTTAGAGCTTGGTTTCTGGAGAGAGTTTTACTGACAGTTTTGTCAAGAGTTTTATTGACAGTTTTGGCGACAATTTTATGGAGATTATTTTATTGAAATTATTAGTTACAATATAGTTGTGAAATAATAATGTTCAAGTTGTAACGAGAAAGGCCCACAATTAATTTAATTTTAAGTTTTTATCCATTTTAATGCTTGTCTTCAGAGACTGGAATTAACTTAAATAATAATAAAAGTGTATTTTTATTTAATAATATAGCTCCAGCTTTCAGAGGAGCCGTGGTTAAATTTCGAAAAGCCTCATCCTTGCAAAGACGGAATACTACAATCTTGACAAAAAATTGTTAAGATTCCTAAAATGAAAGAGACAAAGATGTCCATTCTAAACGAAATCATAACAGACATATAATGTCAAGAGATAAAATAAATTAGGCGACCTGTCAAGACTTGACAAAGATACAAATAGGTCTAGTACATAGGTCAATTAGACTTGTTCTGAATTGTAAAAGTAGAGAAAAGTAAAAAAGAGAATTCACCATTCACTGATTAGAAGTACACATATTTCTTAAAGTAAAACCTTGGTTAGGAGAATGGTCAACATCATTCTTCGACTCGGATTCACTCGATTTTGACTTGTGCTTCTTCTTCTTCTCCCTCCTCTCTTTCTTATCGTGTTTCTTCTTCTCCGACATGTCTGACAAATCTAACTTTCGGGAGACCTGCGAAGGAATGTTTCAACAACCAAATAACTCATTAAGGGCGTACGCCCTGAAATTGAACACTTTTTATCAAGATAGCAGTTGAGCCAGAAGCTAGGACCCGAGATAGAACCTCAGCTAGTCTACAAAAGTCTACAAAATACTCCCATTATGGCTCGTTTAATTCAAAGATGGTCGATAAAATGCGATTGTTTAGTGTTTACCTTACTCCATGAATATTCTGCATTTAAAAAAGAATAAAACAGCTTTATTGATCTAAAAGGCGAAATTTATAATTATTAAGACTGAGTCACTGAGAATCGTCAATCATTTCATTGGCATTTTCAGTATCTTCGTCTTCTTCGATATTTCCTGCACCAAAATCTTCAGCTTTAATAGGCTAATAGAAAATTCACCGTCTTTTCCGATATTCCAGAAGATATTTTTTAAACTCCTCCAGTTTTTACTTTATATAGAAGTGCTGAATCACTTAGTCACTAAGTTTCTTCAGCCATGTCTGTTTCACTTTGAGCCATGTCTGTTTCACTTGAGTTACTTTTATTAGTGTTCTTACGATTTCAATACCTCCAAGTAAGTGGCGACCTTTCGGATTTGTTCTAACTTTCTGTCCCTTCTTCTTGCTTCTTTGGGTAGAATTATATAATATATACGTGTGTTTTTTATTCGAAGCATTCAAAGAGAAAACACATAGAATAAGGTTATCATATAATCTATGATTTTATTATAAAATGAAACAAATACTCACAGGTTCGCTCTCCTCCTCTGAATTGTCACTGGAGTAGTAAGATGAGCTGCTCAGCACTGGCTGAGGTTTCAGATGGAGAGGTGTTGTCGTGACAAGCTTCTTGGAAGGGCGTGGTCGCTGGCGCGGGAGTGTGTCGCACGTGCTGTTTTCCTCGCGAAATGTTACATTTGCACCCTTTGATGTGCTCCCACTGCTCTTCAGAGACGACTTCTCGGGGCTTTTATTGTTTTCTGCCTTAAATTAGGTGGAGATAATGTGTTAAAATTGTGGGATTGAGTCGTTGATACTTGATAGAGGTTTTGTCTAAGTACGAACACTTTATGTTGCAACTACATTGATTTAACTGACTGTTTGACACGTGACAAAGTCTAATTGGCAGAGTGTCCTTCTCCTTCTAGTTACTATTAATAAACTTGCTCTTGCAAGGTTGAAGAAAAATCAAACAAACCAAGAAGATACTAAAAATAATTTAAGCTAAAATCACATAATGTAAATGTAAACTTGGCGTGTTTATGTTTACATTAGACAACAACAGCTAACACCTCTTACACTCAATCAACACAACAAATATAGTCGACCATCTCATCATAGTCGATAAGAAGGGCCACTTGACTGGGCATTGTATCGGATTACGAGAAGATACTGGACTATCACACAAGCCATAGGAGTACTGAGGTACAGAGTTCATGCTCCGCTACGTAATGAATTTCTTACACAACGGTTAAATGATACCTCAATACATTTCTTACGCAATACATAATATTAATAGCATTAAGATACAATAGCTACACTGAGTACTGAGTAGTACGCAATTACTCAATGTAAAATTATCCGTGGGGCCCTTTCCTCGGAAAATAAACTAGGAAACGATATTTGCTGCTTTCAGGGGCAGGAACCGAGAGTGCACTTTTTCCCACGGTTTGTCGAATACTGTCACTTATTGTCAAACTTGTTATTCCCTGTCAAATATTGTCGTATATTGTCGTATAATGTCGTATATTGTCGTATATTGTCAAATATTGTCGTATATTGTCGTATATTGTCATTTCCTGTCATTCCAGTGGCGTAACGTTGCCTGTTGGCGCCCCCTCCCCTTTTAGGGCCCCTTCCTAAAATTGAACAAATTAGATGATTTTAGAGGATACGCCGGTAAAATCTCTAAAAAATGTGTCTTCTAGATCAAAAGGCGCAGTTTTGCTAGTACCGTAGTTAAGTTTTTCGAAATTGTCCCACATTCAAACGACGATTTGGCGCCCCTTTGTTACGCCACTGTGTCATTCCCTGTCATCCCTTGTCATTCCCTGTCATTCCCTGTCGTATATTGTCCGAGTATATTGTCAAATGTTGGCACATATTGTCGTAAAATTGTCATGACATTGGGCACTCTAAATCAATAATATCAATCGATTAATACCAAATTGCATCCGAATAAGACACAACATAAAAGTTTACATTTTAAAATCTACCTTATTGATGGACGAGAGGAGATTATTGCTGACATGAAAAAGGAGAGAGTCTCTGAGTTTGTGAGGCACGTGAACGGGTAGTTGAACTGAAGAAACGGCGGAAATACAAGAAATACAGTGCATTGCAACTGCAAACTCAGCCAAGGAGAGGGAGCCGTCGTGATCCATGTCGGCTAGATCCCTGGAGGATGGATCTCAATTAGAAGCTGATTACATATCGTTTAAACTTAAACTTACTTCTGCTGTACTTCTGCAATATGTGGCTCTCAATCGTTTTCCTAACGTCCGAAAAAATAATTTAATGAAACGTCTTTTAAATTTGACAATTAAACGTCTCTTAAATTTGACAATCGAACGTATCTTAGATTTACAAATATTGGGACTGAAAGAGCCATACAGAGGGGGCTGCATGTCAAAGGCAAGGTATCATTTAGACGTGCTTTTAAGCACATATCTTACAGTTTCATGGTCCAGTAAGTCAGTTTGTTCGGTATATTGTCTGTGTCACTACTATAGAAGTAATAGTATGTACGTTGGCGTAGTTGTAACCATACCATATTTTAGCAAGCGACTCCCTTGGCAGCCCTGTGTTGACTAGGTACTCCCTCGACTGTTTTCCTGGGAAAAATAGCTCAAGAGTTTTATATTCCAATTCTGAAAGTATTCAACGAGATTTGGATGATATTTTAATTTTTAGGCCGCTTGCTAAGAAATTGTAATAATAAGATTCTGCATTGAAGTTAAAGCAGAGAATTGCTACAAATGCGCAATGATTCGATGAGGTTGGCTTGTGCCAATACCTGAGATAGAAGGACGCTTGGGCTGAACCGAGAAAGCAATCAGTAAAGCCCTGCCCTACAGGCTGATTTAGACCCAAAGCCAATTAAATCTAGCCAATTAAATAAATTGACTCGCGGCGCGCGCCAAAAATTGGTCAGTCGCTCTGCGTCGTGATACAAATATGACGCCGCGCGTTACGCTAACGGTGTGCCAAACTATAGAATTGCGGTTTGTGTACCTGAATATTCAATATTATCGTCAAACTAAAATTAATCATAAATGTACCTGATATAAAACCATGGAGCGGTTTTATACCATGGAACGCCTCCTCGTAACTACTCCACTGATCAACAGTGATATTCCAGTCAAATCCAGGCTCTTTCTCTTTAACAGGGGCTACATCGAACTGCGCCCAATTCTGCGTGCTGACGAAAGTCATACTGCTGCCACGACTGGGAATATTTCAACTTTATCTTAACAATTCTAATGCAGCTGAAGGTCGTAGTTGTGTATAGTGAAACAATTACCAGTTTCTCATTCCACAAGATTAGATCTTAACAATTAGTATAAGTAGGAAGTGAATTACCGGTGGGTGTTTACTACGTTCTGCCAGGAAGCTGTCTCAGGCATCTTGCTTATACCATTGCTGAAAATTCTTTAATCAGCATACCAACATACCAACGAAATATCTCCGTATAAATTGTGAAAATCACAATTCGGGAGAAAAATCATCGTTGTCAGTGGAACTTGTTAAGATGTACGATTCATAAAATCCTACAAAGTGAAATTAAGCAGTGAGCTATCTACAAAGGATTTGAGGAATAGTAATAGTAATAGTAATAGTAATATTAATAGTAATAGTAATAGTAATAGTAATAGTAATAGCAATAGCAATAGTATAGTAATAGTAATTAGTAATAGTAATAGTAATAGTAATAGTTATAGTAATAGTAATAGCAATAGCAATAGTAATAGTAATAGTTATAGTAATAGTAATAGCAATAGCAATAGCAATAGTAATAGTAATTAGTAATAGTAATAGTAATAGTAATAGTAATAGTTATAGTGATAGTAATAGTAATAGTGATAGTGATAGTAATAGTTATAGTAATAGTAATAGTAATAGCAATAGTAATAGTATAGTAATAGTAATTAGTAATAGTAATAGTAATAGTAATATTAATAGTTATAGTGATAGTAATAGTAATAGTAATAGTAATAGTGATAGTAATAGTTATAGTAATAGTAATAGTAATAGTAATAGTAATAGCAATAGTATAGTAATAGTAATTAGTAATAGTAATAGTAATAGTAATAGTAATAGTAATAGTAATAGTTATAGTAATAGCAATAGCAATAGTAATTAGTAATAGTAATAGTAATAGTAATAGTAATAGTAATAGTAATAGTAATAGTGATATTGATAGTGATAGTGATAGTAATAGTAATAGTAATAGTAATAGTAATAGTAATAGTAATAGTAATAGTAATAGTAATTACTAACCTCGGTTTAGTTTCCTTCGTCTCCGTAACCGCACTCTCCTGCTCAATGCTTGTATCTGCACCATTTTCAGATGTCTTGTTGTTGTTGTTGTGTTCTATAGATTCAGGTTCCTGTTTTTTGTTATCAGCTTTTTGTTTTATGTTGGGATCAGTTACTTGCCGTGGCAGGGTGAACGTATCTCTGTTCTTGTGTGGCACACTAACGTACCTCTTGAATTTCGTTCTATCTGAGAAATGTCGTGCTAGAACTTTTACTGGTCTTATTACGTGGGCAATAGTAGTGTAGTAGTGTAGTAGTGTAGTAGTGTAGTAGTGTAGTAGTGTAGTAGTGTAGTATTGTAGTAGTGTAGTAGTGTAGTATTGTAGTATTGTAGTTAGTGTAGTAGTGTAGTTAGTGTAGTAGTGTAGTAGTGTAGTAGTGTAGTAGTGTAGTAGAGTAGTAGTGCAGTGGTGTAGTGGTGTAGTAGTGTAGTAGTGTAGTAGTGTAGTAGTGTAGTAGTGTAGTAGTGTAGTAGTGTAGTTAGTGTAGTAGTGTAGTGGTGTAGTGGTGTAGTGGTGTAGTAGTGTAGTAGTGTAGTAGTGTAGTAGTGTAGTGGTGTAGTAGTGTAGTTAGTGTAGTAGTGTAGTAGTGTAGTAGTGTAGTAGTGTAGTAGTGTAGTAGTGTAGTAGTGTAGTAGTGTAGTTAGTGTAGTTAGTGTAGTGGTGTAGTGGTGTAGTAGTGTAGTGGTGTAGTGGTGTAGTAGTGTAGTAGTGTAGTAGTGTAGTAGTGTAGTAGTGTAGTAGTGTAGTAGTGTAGTAGTGTAGTAGTGTAGTAGTGTAGTAGTGTAGTAGTGTAGTAGTGTAGTAGTGTAGTAGTGTAGTTAGTGTAGTAGCGTAGTTAGTGTAGAAGTGTAGTAGTGTAGTAGTGTAGTAGTGTAGTAGTGTAGTAGTGTAGTAGTGTAGTAGTGTAGTAGTGTAGTAGTGTAGTTAGTGTAGTAGCGTAGTAGTGTAGTAGTGTAGTAGTGTAGTAGTGTAGTAGTGTAGTAGTGTAGTAGTATGTATTACACGGGCACTATCATGGGATAAAATCAAATAATATCCATATAATATCAGGTTGATCAGAAACCACAATTAACCATGCCAAAAAGCTTATAAAGGATAACAAATAAGGTATAAAAGGTTCTGTATCTAATTGAAGAATATCTCTGATTTGAAACTGTACCTGATCTAAAACTGTACCTGATTTGAGACTCTTAGCTCGTTTAACAGTAGCAGGGGGAGGGGCTATCTTAACGGGTGTGACAGGTTCAGTGGTAATATCAGTGACATTCTTTATTTGGAACTGAGATATGGCTGCCTTCTTCCCGGGGGTGTTTTCAGTCATCACATCTTGTACAAACTCCTAGCAACGTGTAGTAACGTGTAGCAACGTGTAGCAACGTGTAACAACGTGTTAAAGTGGAATACAATAGATCCAAATCATGATTTATTTTCAGGTTATTGTTATAAGATGAGCAGTGGAGGTTGAAATACTAGATTGAACGAATGAAACTTCAGACTTGCCAATTAGTCTGTAAATATAAACTTAATTTGAACAGTTTTGATAATAAATGCTGGTTGGGACTGTAAGCCAAATCTTAACAATTGACAGCCTTTTTCTAGACAGAGTATTTAAAATAAATAAGATAAAATGGTACCTTTACGTTTGTATTAAAATAACATTGATTAAAGGCAACATTAAAATAGAGGTCGGATTTGAAAAACAACCGTGAAAATCTGCAACGTAATAAATAGATGGTGAACAACAATGAACATATGAATAATGATCATTGTAACCTAGAGCACATTCTTTACACGGTAATGTCAGAATTCGATAAATGTATGAAGCAACGCAGTCAGTTAAAAACGGAAGTACACTAGCCGAATAGAAGGCGAGACAGAAATATCAAACTTGTTACACTCCAAAATCTCATGTGGTATACTTGAAACAAACAGGCATGTAATGTGCCTAAACAATATCTACCGTGCATTGCCTCCCACTAGTAGCACGACTCACGGTAACACACTACAAAACAATAAGATCGTCATTGTCCTCAACCTCAATCTCTTCTCTATTTCTCTTCCTCGGAGTCAGACTGTTACTCCCAGTCCCCTCACTTAACCTCTTGTTTGTCTGGAGAGCGCTAGCAGAGGGTGGTGGTGGTGGTACTGGTGCTGCGCTACCCGACACAGTGAACTCTACCGGGTTTTCTCTACTTTCTGAGAGTAAAGTACTGTGTAAAATGTTCACAACCAACTCATACTCTTGCAAGAAATCATCACATTTCAGCCGGCTATGGTTTGACACCCCAAAATGACCTAGAGTTTTATCGTTGTTCTGTTCAGTCTCCCCCTCCTCGGAAGAGATAATGATAGTTCCCTTCCCATCCTCAATCTCCACATCAGGGGCCACCATACCCAGGTGTTTCTTCAGCACCCTCTCCTCAAACCCTCCCACAGTCATGGTATCAGTGTTCAGGGTTACAGTTACTTCAGGTCTCTCTGCACACGCGTAACAACTCTCCCTTGGTCTCTCCAGAGGAGAAGGGACTATGAGCTTCCGCCGGTTGGTAGGTCTCCGCTGTAAGATAGACATGGTACACTTGCTCCAGTCCTCCCGCAGGATCTTCATCCCTTCCAACACAATCTGACCCGCTATGATAGCGTTGGTAGTTGCGATAGCCGGGATTATGTTTCCAGCCATGCTCTTAACATCGAACTTGCTCTTTTGTTCTATAGAGAAAATACTAGCTCTAATGTTTGCGGTGGCTGTGACAAAGTCCATGGCAGGTTTATCATCCTTATCCCAGGTCAAGTATCCACTTGACTTGTACTCCCGGCTAAGAGATCTGACGCTTTCCCTAAAAACATGTACACACTCCTGAATAGACCAGGGTCGTTGATCCTTCAGCGCGTACACACCATTCTCACTGCCTTCACCAATCTTTTGAAGCTGACTCAAATCCAAAGGAACCGGAGGTTTTCGAGTTTTCCATAATTTGTCCATGGTTAGGAGGTACAGAATATCGTCGTGGAACATTTTGTGAAGTATTTTGTCGGGGTTGTAGTCGATGTTTTCCACCCACTGCCGTGTAGATTTGCGGGTTGTTTCTGTTTCTGAAGAAGCTGCCACTGCTCCTGAAAACATTTTTCCGTTAGTATATTTATAATTAGTATCGGTAATTTGGTGGTAATTATTTAGTAATTTCGTGTAAGAAGCTACATTTCTCGTTAAAAAACATAAATATGAATATCGGTACCGAAAGCCGGAAGCTGTGTTCCCAAGAAAGCTTCAGAACAAAGCTACACTCAAGATTCAGTTATAATATATACAGTTATACCTCAGCGCTGTTCTTGCCACTACTCAATCGGGTATTAGAATTTGAGTGTCAAAATTTACACTGGTGGTACCCTGACACTGGTCAGTCAACAGAAATACACTTCCTAATGACAGATACTGTATAAAATATGGATATATTGCGTATGTACCATTTTAATGTACGAATTATGTATAAAGGCACATTTTGAAGAAAGCTCATCAAATTTGATTAAAAATCCTGAATATAACCAATGACTTAATACCCGATAAAAGTAATTAAATTAAAGCAATGTAATATGTATCTCATTAGTATCTAATTACTAATTACCAGCCTCAGCCACAGCCTCCGGATCAGCAGTATCCGGAGACACGTCCTGGTCCGGATCAGGTTCTCCGAAGAGCTGGTTAAAGAGGTGTTTACCCCACACTATACAGTGGATAGGCTCCGAGGGAGTGTTCCTGATTGTGCAGCCTGGGTACGATTTAACGTCACTCTTTTTCTGGTTGCACTCGTAGCACTCGTATTTTCCTTTCTTTATCACCTGTACTTGTCCTTTGTAACCACCTGTGAGAATAGGTTTATCTCAGTGTAATGTTATTTAACGTATATTATTACATTAGTTGCGCAGTATCATGCTACCCCCCCCCCCCCCCCCCCTGCAGTATCATGCTACCCCCCCCACCTCCCCCCCAATTTTGACTTTTGTTTTTGTGTCCAAACTAGTAATGACTAACTATCTCGAAAATTAACTCTTAGTAAATGTAAAGTGTAGATCCAATGTATTGATGAGATAACGAAGTGCTATTAATTGGAGACAATGTGCATATTTCCACTAAGTACTGTAACTACATAGTAAATATCATTATTATTGTCACTATAAAAAGACGCACTATACTAAAGCGAAGTTTTGATATTTAGTTATTTGTTTAGGGAAAGATTGGAATAGGGCGTTGTTTTTAACTATGCCTTGTTCACAACTTGTATTTAATAAATAATGATAAAGTGTGTGCACCTGTTCCGGACTCCACAAGAGGCACATTAGCAGCTAGACACATCCTGTTAACATGTGTCCGTGCAGCTAGGTTATCCAGCGCGTTCATTACCACTGTGAACTGCTTGAAGAACTCAGCGTTAAACTTCGGTGATATGACACTGAGGGAAGTTTATGTTTATGTTTATGTAAAATGTACTGCTAAAGCTAAAGTTGTAACTTCTAGGTACCGTAAATCAAAATATAATTTTTTGAAGCATCAAAAATCTATGAAGATTGTCTAGAATCGGCTAGACTTAATTTAATATTAGCTCTTTAATGCTATCTTTGAAATTAAAGCAGATTGCAGAAACTGTTACCCTGCGGATCTTAAGAACACGCTAGCTAAGTATGTAACTACAGTAAACAAGTTTATATCTTTACAAACGATAAGTCAGGTGACAGGTAATAAGTCAGGTGACAGGTAATAAGTCACGTAACAGGTAATAAGTCAGGTGACAGGTAATAAGTCAGGTGACAGGTAATAAGTCAGGTGACAGGTAATAAGTCAGGTGACAGGTAATAAGTCACGTAACAGGTAATAAGTCAGGTGACAGGTAATAAGTCAGGTGACAGGTAATAAGTCACGTGACAGGTAATAAGTCAGGTGACAGGTAATAAGTCACGTGACAGGTAATAAGTCACGTGACAGGTAATAAGTCACGTGACAGGTCAGGTGACGGTAAGTACCTCTCATGGTAGGTGGTGATGTTAACTGCAGGGTTGAAGAGCTTGACAGTGTTAGTAGCACACACAGCCTTGCTCTGCCCCACGTGGTCTCGCTGAAAGAGGAACTGTCTGTTCAGGTTACTAACATCTATAGTGTCTAGGTCTATCACGTGCAGGTTTGTGAAGCCTGTTAGGACCAGGTTCTTGAGGAGTTCGCACCCAATACCACCTGCACCCACAACAAATATCTTAGCTTTCTTGTTGAAGTTACGGTCTGTGTAAAGAGCAGCCATTGTGGTCACCAGCTTCAATGATGAGCGAGATAATGGTTAGTTTGACGATCAATTAATTATTAATTAATTTACATGTAACATTGTAACTTTAAACAATAACTTTCATTGTTGCTAAAGACTTTTAAAAATAACTGTGAATAGATACAGTTATTTATTTATTACTTGAAACTAAACAGTAAACATGTTAGTATTATGAATTTACAGCAATTTTCAGTTGTCCAACTGCAACTGGTAGAACGGTTCATCGTTATAATTGGTAATCAATGAAAAGCATGACAAGTATGATTGTAAAGAGTTATTGCGAATTTTAATAACAAATTACAACATTGCAATCATTGCACAGACGTACTGGAGTTAATCATCTAATTAATCATATCAAAACATTTAAACAATCATTATTTACAGAAAATGAGAAAAAGGGTGACAAACTTAATATATTAATAACTGATATGATCAACAATTATTGTGATAACCTAAGCAGTAAGCAACAAGAAAGTATTTTAAAAACGACCAGTATAAAACCAGGCTTGAAACATCACCAACCCTAATACAGCACCCTGCTGTATAAACCTAATACAGCACCCTGCTGTATAACATACTTTATTAAGTATAGACAGAGGATCTGTGACTTCTGTGTACAGCTGTCAAGACTGGGCCACAAACTTTAGATGTACATTCCACAATTGTGTCGTTTGAAAATTCCTAATTGTTTTTCTTCGATCAACATATTTCTAAGCGTTTAGTCGCATGGTAATTTAAGCACTGTAAAGAAACATTTTAAATAGAAATAGTTCAGATATTCTATAAATTGGGCACATTAATCTTTTACTGTAAAAATGGTTAACGTATTTCATTTTAGGTTTCTAGTTTCACAATTACCCTAAATAACGAAGAAATTTGAAAAAATCTCACAATTCAAATTGGACACACCCCAATTAAAACTAAAAATGTACAAATATCGAACTAATTATATTAAGCAACAGTTAACAGACCATACATTACTACATGTTATCATGAAATGTTATTTTAATGCTCTATGAAAACTATGGAATTTGGATCTATCTTTATCACTTTTAGTATTAACTTTAAAGCTTGAAAGTATTTTACATAACAGAAATGGTAACATATGCTTTAGCTTGGGCTGAAAAACGAAAATTTTTCTCAAAAATCTTGGACATCGTTAGCAGCCTCAGCAATCTCAAGTACAACAGTTTGAGGCGACTTGGTGTTGGACATTTCAGGTTCCTCCATTACTTCTGATAACCTCTTCTCACCTTCAGCCACTGGTGCTGTAGCTGGTGCTGTAGCTGGTGCTGTAGCTGTTGCTGTAGCTGGTGCTGTAGCGGGTGCTGTAGCTGGTGCTGTAGCTGGTGCTGTAGCTGGTGCTGTAGCTGGTAGCTCAATAGACCCTTCCATACTCAATCCGTTGAGAGACAATTCCTCGGCACTTTCATAATCCTTGTCCACATGATCATTACACAGATCGATCTCTGAGACGTGAATGCTGCGTTCCATGCCAGAGTTTATCGTCGTAAGGCTGTCACTGCGTTGTATTTCATCAAGGTAATCTGGCTCAGACATGATCATCTTAGCGATGTCACTGGATGAAGTCTCCTCTCCTGCAACATCAGTGGAATCCTCAGAACAATGAGAACTTATAAAATCTGAACTTGAAAGTTTTATGTCATTAACTAAGGTGGCTACTAAAGCATTCCCACCTTCGCTGTGGATTTCTGAACTGACTATGTGACGATAATAGTACCTGTACCACAAGTGGATGTTGATGATGCTGTAATTAACGTTGATGGGATCAAATTTAGATTTAAATATGTTCTTCATTGAGGTCAGCCTTTCTCGAGGAGACTCAGATTCAGCACTGAAAAACGAAGAAGAACCAACTTTACCAGGTTTATCTTTCTTCATTTTCTTTGACTTTCTACGACCTTTGTGAAAAAGGTGACTCGGTTTTCTGATAGCTTTGAGCATGAGAATTCCACTGCGTTCTTTCTTGGTTGGCTTTTTATCATCACCAACATCGTCAGTTCCCTTTGAGACAGCATAAGAATAGGACTGAGTGCGCGTAACTTGAAGGGTTTCATCAAAGGATGTAGTTTCTGAGGGAGTTTTTAGTATTTTGTCCTGCAAATCAAACAGCGGATTGACATATGTTGATTTCTGCTTCAGAACTTTTTGCCAAAAATCATCCACTACATCATTTTCTTTCCCTTTGCAGACAAGGGAAATGTCTCGTGGGCAGTTGAACATGAACACCTCAGATTCTCCAGTTAATATCTTATCAAGTATTTCCATGAGGTACAAATCAGTAAATTCGAATTCAGTGGGATACTGCAATATAATATTATGAACACAGTCCAAAAACATGATGAAGGTCGGATAGAAGTGAGACTCTGTACCCTTGATTGACATAAGAGACGAACAAAAGGAGTAGCCAGCAGATAACCATTCCTTGTTGATCAAGTTTGCAAATCCAGCTATTGTCCTGAAGTGTTTGTCACAGAGTATGAGAACTAGTGACACGACAAGACAGCTCATATCTCTGCCAGTTTCATCCATAACAACAACAGGGTTCTTATCACATTTTAATGTCCGAGCAATATGTCTAGATGCCCTTATCAGAGAGTGAATGTGATGAAACCATTTGCTCGATTCCAGGTTTTTATAGAAATACTCTCCATCTTTGACTAGACAGGCATTCCACAGTTTCTCAAAACTATTACTGATAACAGTTTCATCAGGACACGAGTCTTTCAAATGAGCTGTGCTCATAACTGCATGGGTTTTGGCTCGGCCATTATTGACAGTACTCAAGATCTTATTCAAGTATGAGTTATTCAGAATAGTCTGAGGCTCACTGCATCGTAAAAGTGACACCATAGTATCACTGTCTGTCCAGCACCAACTCATGTATCTATTGTTGGTATGACCCTCTCCAGTTGCCGTGACACTTTCAATACTGATAGAACTAGGGACAACAAAATATTTTCCAGTAATCCCACAGGATTTAAATTCTTTGTTCTCAACAACCTTCCATCTTGATTTCTTGATGTTAATTTTTAAACGTGAAAGTTCTCTTTCCCAGGAACTTTTATCCAAAAAACTACATATGCTGGAAGGTGAAGATCTGCCACACATATCTGCACTAGGTGATCCTATTTTCCGATACACTTTATCCTGAAGAGTTTTTAAAAATGCATACACAGTTTCGTCCCCCTTTTTAAAATGCAAAACAACCTCCCGGAAGTCCTTGCAATACAAAATTAATTTTTCAACCTGGATATCTTCAAACTCTGTCATTTCACCAAGGTCACTCATTTTACCATCTACTGATAGAAAGCAATTCTTTAGGTTGGGTAGGGAAGTGTAAAAACTAGTTTCCACGGTTTCGTGATGACAAATATCAGAATCATCTGACCCTGAAACAATTAACGAAATCCCAAGCTGACATATACAGAGTTTTCCCATTTTACCACTGCCACTCTCCGAACTAGTTTGATCATACTGAAAAACTCCATCTAGACTTGCAACAATGTGGTGTCCAGAATTATTTCGTGAACCATTTGAATGTCCATTATTCATCTCACCAACTCATATCTTGCATCATTTGTTAGTGCGATTCATAGCTGAAACATAACATTTTTAGAAGTGTTAGGAGATTTTAGAAACAAGTATTTAATAGCTGATAATTCTCCTTATCAACCTGGAGGGAGGTTCTTGAAACATGTAAATGATACAAAAGGTTTTCTTAGCAAGAGGTCTCAAAATAGATGTGTATATTGTTTTGAGTGGGTTTACTGTACAAACGGAAGTGGACTTGTCAGGATGGACGAGGACGTCGAGGAAGGGTATTTGAAGGTCTTTGTCAATTTCAAGTTTATAAGTTTAGTTTTCAACATGTAAATTGGTTCTATTTATGACTAGCAGCAACGATAAGGACACAGATTCCGGGCCTGTACAGATTTCTTGAGCCCCTTTGAACATAAATCCGGGAGTTACTCCACTAGTTCATTTTTTGTACAATTGTAAATTTATATACACAGTGCAGTTACTTTTGTCAGTTCCTGTGGCAGTTCAGTGTGCATTATAAGGCGTCACAAGAAATTTAAAATCATCAATAAAGTTGATTAGCATCGTCATCATGGGTAGTTTGATAATTGTACAGTTTATTGACGACACATTGACTGAATGTTATTTTATATTCTAATCTATATTCTATATTTTATTTATTTTTCAACAGACGACAACTTCCTGTTTTTTTCTTCTATATTAGTTACTCATATCTCTTGTACAGACTGTTTCACAAGGACATTGACAGATGATACTCACATTAGGCATTCATTATTGCATCTAAATTATTTCACTTGCATTAGGTTTAGAAATTTATTCTCTGGTTAACAGATTTCAAATGTTTAATTAATTTGTAGTATGACAGTAAGGTATATAAGAAATTATTTAATTTTGCTTGGGCTATTATATTGACTATTGAGGTTTAATGATGATATGGAATTTGAATTTTATATAAATTTACACTATGTGGTTGGGGCATTTTGCATAGTAAATATGGTTACTACTCCTATATATCATATTATTTGATCGGTATTCGATTTCTGATTATTTCCCTAGGAATATGATTATTATATCTCAATTTGGCTTTAGGTAGGGTGCCCCGCTAAAAGAACTGGATTCTTCCAGGAAGCATCCCGTGCACAGAGCTTGGTCTACATATTATATATTAAATTATTAACCATTCATTCTGTATGTGCACGAAAATTTATTTCAATCAATAAAAGTTAATTCATGGTTATGATATTTCAAGACATCTTCTTTCTTTTCACAAGTATTGCGTAATCAGCCAAGGGGGGAGGGAGGGTTTCCAAATGATCAAACTATTTTGACACAAAAGCTATGTGTAAAACTTGTTATTTCTGATCACACATTTATCTCTCTTTTGTGACGGAATACTTCTAACCGTGTTTACCCTTTCTAGCAATGACAAGGAAACAGGGATAACCGATTGGACTGGGGAGTTGCAGACCAGTGGCAGCACACTACCGGACGGGAGGGGTAAAAATGTTCAAAAAGTGATTGCGTAATAATATGTGAACAACCCCTAATTCGAGTGAGGGAGGGATGTCCGAACATGAACATGGCCTGGTTAATACCGCCAGGGATTTGTTGATCAAGATGTTAAGTCCCCCTTACTTCTCCCTTTACTTCAAGTCCATTGCTTTGCTTTGTAGCTTATATTGAATGAATGCGTCGTGTTGTTAGGCACTCAACAAACCATAATATTTTCGAATTTTTTCTATATCCGAATACAACAGCGAAAGAATTTAAACAAAAAATAAACAAAGATAAAAAATACGTTAAAAATACATTTTAGGGGCTTTTGTGTAATCATAATCGCTGAAGATATTGAAGAATTAGGAAGTTTGGGAAAGTATTTGGCTTTTACAATTTAATCCTACCAAGTGCAAAGTAGTGCACATTAATTTTAACAACAATTTTAACAACAATCCTAATATTTCCTCAAGTTTACCTCTAGTTAACTAATTCGTGGTTTAAGCTCTTATTTTATTTATGATTAAAGGAATGTAAAATAAAACTTATTGTTTCATTTAATTTAAATCTTTAAAATATTAGAATTAGAATTAGTATTAGAATCAAATTTACTATATGTACTATGTTCCATATTGTCCCTGCTTTGTATATGTAGCTGTATGATGGTTTAGGTGAAAGAATGAGTGTCTCTTTGCCAAGTCTGCCAGATGTTTCAAAGAGGGAGTATAATGATATAGGGATTTTATATTTCAAGACCTTGAAGATGTCATTAATACAATGGTAAAAGTACAAATTATGCGCATTCATGATTTCATGAGTGTTGAAGAGGGGTTTAGTATGCTCCTTTCTGTAAAATTTGTTGCCCATGATTTTCTCCCTGTAGGGTCTGCATCGTGCACTAGTTTTAAATTTATCCAAGTATGCTTCTTTATCACCAAACATTATGCGGGCACACATTTTTTGTGCTTTGAACAGAGGTTCGAAGCACATCGACAAGTCCTCGTGATCATGTGATCGCCTCGTGAGGTTTTGTAAATGCGCGGCACACCTTCAAGCTTAAATTATTCACCTTACTGAGGCAGCCAATCAACGCGCGGCTTTATTTTTATGATATGTTGTAGGTTTATACATTATAGCCTACCAAAACACGCGCCGAGTTGGACTCGTCGATGGTCTTGATTCGAAACAAATATTTTACTAGTATCACTTGTTAATATAATATGATATGCTTTATTGTTATTAATAAATACCAAAATTCAAAACTTGTTTTCCTCATGCTCGTGCGCACTTATGTTTATTGCAAACTACACGTGAATGGTGAAGCATTTTAAGTTTTATGTGACACAATTCAGCCAATCTGCCAATCAGAGGACAGGAATTAGTTAAGTGGAATCTGCAAAGTACAAAGTAAAAGTTTCGAACTTTTATTCGGCTCAAAGTGAAACTTTTCGGGATAACTCAAAATGTACATTTTTCCAAATTTTACCTTGTCATACGTTGTATGACCCGCCGCGCACGAGTGCGCGGCTCCCCTGTATCGTAGAAACTATAGTGAAGCGACAGTGGGGGTCACCACGTGATACAAATTTTACCCCTGGCGAAAACGTTATTTTTACGAGACGAACTGTTTGAAAAATGTTTTTATTTCTTTTATTTTTGAAAATAGGGTCTAGCCAGTAAAGTTTTCTGAAATTGACAAAAAGGTAAATTTTAAAAATCAGCATAGTTTAAAATCAAAATAAAGCAATGTCTTTTATTTACAAAAATAAGATTCCAAAGATGATTAGCTAAAAGTATGTTATTACTCACTTGAAAGGGATGATTTATAATTGTTAAATTATTACTTATTTTAGATATAATAATAATTTGAACAAGAATGCGAATGTACAGGTTGAATTGATTTGTGCAGGCAACAAGGTTGCCAGGTTTTTCTACACAGTGTAACTGTAAAATAAAGTTTTTACGATGTTTCCCTCCACTGCTCTCTGAGTGATCCAATGATAATAACATTTATAACGTATAATTGAGTTATAATTGAATTTGGAGCCACAAGGCCAAGGTTAATATTCAAATGTTTCTCCCAATATTTGAGATAGGGAATATATTGATTTTTTAAAGGGTATTTTTATATAAGGGACATTGTGACAATTATGTGTATATTGTTTGAATAATTTTACAAACAAAAATAATTGAGTTAGAAACCAACCTGTTAAGTTATCCCCGGACCAGTGTCCCGACAGAAGGCACCTGGGTTGTTAGTCGGTGATGGAGCAATTTACACTGAATCCATTATGAAGGAATTATAGTACATTGAAACTAGTATCAATGGTGAATTGGGAAATTCAAAACTTGCAGTTTTGAAAACCTTTAATATATTCATTACACTGAGTTCCGAAGTATTAAAGTAAAGTGTCTTCTATAGTACTCAGAGAAACTATTCATTTAGCTCAAAGCTGAACCCCTGAAGTTAATAAGTTAGTACATAATACAATATCACTCCTCTTTAAATATTTTAATAAATATTAAATCCAACGCAGCGCGCGTCTGGAACAAGCCAAAAATTCAAAAACATACAAAATGATATTAGATCCGGTCACACTCCTTCTTCCAAGAGTTCCAGAAACAAGACTAATTTTAATAATTTAACTGTCCCCCAAAAGTCAAAGCTAGAAACTCTCTTTACCGATCAACATACAAACGGCGCGGCGCGCGTGCGGCGACTGAAATGTTGACAACAAGATACTTTCTACAGCCTCGAAATCGTAAAAAAATGTAGAAAATGGGGGGGGGGGGGTGTCACGTCCGTCTATGTCCGCTTGTCTCATAGAATCCAAAAAGGACAGGACATAGGCGGACATAGGCGGACATAGACGGACATAAGCGGACATAGGCGGACATAGGCGGACATAGACGGACATATGCGGACATAGGCGGACATTAATGGACACCTAAATTGCTAAATAAAATGTTCAATTTTTGCTGTTATAGGGGGATCATGTTTTTTGTCCGTTCGGTACCCTATATTTTCAAAACGGACAAAAAATAGAGCGGACAAAAACGGACAAAAATGGACAAAAACGGACAAAAATGGAAATAACATTTAGATGCTTCCTCCTCCTACTCTTCCTCCTCCTCCCCCTGGGTCTTCCTGATATTCCTCAGTCCTCTTCCTCCTCCCCTCCTCAGTCCTCCTCCTACTCCTCCTCCTCGTCCTCAGTCCTCCTCATCAGTCCTCAACAGTCCTCCTCCTCCCCAGTCCTCCTCCTCCTCCTGAGTCCTCCTGGGTCCTTCTCCTCCTCTTCATCGTCCTCCTCTTCCTCTTCAGTCCTCAGTCCTCCTCATCATTCTCCTCAGTCCTCCATCCTCCTCCTCAGTCCTCCCCCAGTCCCCCTCCTCCTCCTCCTATTCAGTCCTCCTCCTCCTCCTCCTCCTTCTCAGTCCTCCTCAGTCCTCCTCCTCCTCCTCCTCCTCTTCCCTCTCAGTCATCCTCCTCAGCCATCCTCCTCAGTCCTCCTCAGTCCTCCTCAGTCCTCCTCCTCAGTCCTCCTCCTGGGTCCTCCTCCTCCTCTTCATCCTCCTCCTCTTCATCCTCCTCCTCTTCCTCCTCGGTCCTCAGTCCTCCTCCTCCTGGGTCCTCCTCCTCATCCTTCTCATCAGTCCTCCTCCTCCCCAGTCCTCTCCCAGTCCCCCTCTTTCTCCTCCTCCTATTCAGTCCTCCTCCTCCTCCTCCTCCTCAGGTCTCCTCAGTCCTCCTTCTCTTCCTTCTGAGTCCTCCTCCTGAGTCCTCCTCCTCCCTCTCAGTCATCCTCCTCAGTCATCCTCCTCAGCCATCCTCCCCAGCCATCCTCCTCAGCCATCCTCCTCAGTACTCCTCAGTCCTCCTCCTTCTCAGTCATCGTCAGTCCTCCTTCTCAGTCCTCCTCCTCCTCCTGGGTCCTCCTCCTCCTCCTCCTGGGTCCTCCTGGGTCTTCCTGATCCTCCCCAGTCCTCTTCCTCCTCCCCTTCTCAGTCCTCCTCCTACTCTTCCTCCTCGTCCTCAGTCCTCCTCATCAGTCCTCAACAGTTCTCCTCCTCCCAGTCCTCCTCCTCCTCCTGGGGTCTTTTGCTTGGTCCTCCTCCTGGATCCTCCTCCTCCTGGGTCCTCCTCTTCCTGGGTCCTCCTTCTCCTCCTCAGTCCTCTTCCTCCTCCTCCTCCCTCTCAGTCATCCTTCTCAGCCATCCTCCTCAGTCCTCCTCCTTCTCAGTCCTCCTCAGTCCTCCTCCTCAGTCCTCCTCCTCCTCAGTCATCCTCCTCAGTTCTCCTCCTCCTCCTCGTAGGTCCTCCTTCTGGGTCCTCCTCCTCCTCCTCCTCCTCCTGGGTCTTCCTGATCCTTCTCCTCCCTCTCAGTCATCCTCCTCAGTCATCCTCCTCAGTCATTTTCCTCAGCCATCCTCCTCAGCCATCCTTCTCAGCCATCCTTCTCAGCCATCCTCCTCAGTACTCTTCAGTACTCTTCAGTACTCTTCAGTCCTCAAAATGTTTGTCCGCTAATGTCCACCAATGTCCGCTAATGTCCATCCAAGTCCGCCAATGTCCGTCCGGGTCCGCCAATGTCCGTCCGAGTCCGCCAATTTCCGTCCGAGTCCGCCAATGTCCGTCCGAGTCCGCCAATGTCCGTCCGTGTCCGCCAATGTCCCAAAAAACACGTCCGTTGTCTCATAGAATCCAAAAAGGACAGGACATAGGCGGACATAGACGGACATGACACCCCCCCCAAAATGTTAACATTTGAGATAAAACATGTCACTTTGTCAAATAATTAAATACATCCATAAAAACAAGATAAAAAATTTAGCACTAAAGTACCCTCTAAGTTTCAATGGTTCATCACTCCCATACGCAAAAATTCGGGTATTAGTTTCAAATAAAGGGTAGGACCCTGATTGACACAAAATATCATAAGTTGACCTATCTATTATATTTACAGAGGCCCCGGTGTCTGGCAGAAACTGCACGGGGACCTTATTGTCAAAAAGAATGTTCACCCTCCCCTTCAACTTACTGGCATCAGAAGCAGCGAAGACCCACATATCGCTCTCCGTAGCAGCCTGTAACGACTGTAGCAGCCTGTAACGACTGTGCCACCTCAACTTGTTGTTCTGTCTGTTCATACTCCTGGCCTTCACCCTCATACGTCACATTGTTAGCTCCTGACCAACCACCACGCTGCCCATTGTAACCCCTACTTTGATTACCTCGTTGTCCATTATAGCCTCGGGAACCATAACCTCGGGAACCTCTCCAGCCACCCCTTTGACCTCTACCAAACCCTGGGTTTCCGTTGCAAAATTCTTTGAAGTGTCCATAACGCTTACAACTTGGGCACTGATGATCTCAATTTGGCTTTAGGTAGGGTGCCCCGCTAAAAGAACTGGATTCTTCCAGGAAGCATCCCGTGCACAGAGCTTGGTCTACATATATATTAAATTATTAACCATTCATTCTGTATGTGCACGAAAATTTATTTCAATCTCTAGCCGGGCAACTCCCTTCATGTGGATACACTCCGCCACATTTGTAATACTCCAAGTTTCTATAACAACCATGAGACGACCCTCTTCTAGCTCCTCTATCAGAATTACCTCCTCTATCAGAATTACCTCCAAACACCGCAAACGCTGGCTCTTCTTTTATCCTCATAGACGATCCAAGCTTGGTAGAAGACTCAATTCCCAAGCCTTTCTGAGTAAGCTCATTCAACTCTAAATTCTCTGACAGGGCCTTCTCTCTTATCGCCGTGTTAGTCGTCCCAAACACTACTTGATCCTGGATGTGTCTGTTCTTGTCTCCAGCATTGAAACCACAACTGCTTACACCAACCTCACATCTGTGCACAAAATGAGCGAAGCTTTCACCTTCTCGTTGACTTAGGTTTCTGTACCGGAATGCTTCATAAGTTGCATTCTTGCTCACCTTCATCTTTTTGTCTACCACGTTTCTTGCATGTTGGTATTCTGAAACATCAGTTGTTTCATCCTCCTTTTTAGCTTTTGTCTCACTCTTATTTAGCATGTAGACTTCCTTCACCTTGGCTCCCCCGCAAGTGATAAATAGCCCCAACTTCCTAGTATCATCTGTCTCTCCCACTTCCCAGTCCCATCCCCATAATGAAGAACTCGAGATCCTCGACCCATTCCTCATAATTCTGTCCCTCAGCAAATACTCTCATACCCACGTGTGCCATCTTTTCTCCTCGTCGCCAATAAAGTGTCTTCTATAGTACTCAGAGAAACTAGTCATTTAGCTCAAAGCTGAACCCCTGAAGTTAATAAGTTAGTACATAATACAATATAAAGGATCTTATTTTTAAATAAACTGTCAATAAAGTATAGAATTGAAAACTTGTTCATTATTACAATTTTATTCATGTTCTTATTATGAAAATTACAGATGGAAGATGCTGATGTTAAAATGTCGGAGATAAGTGATGTGAGCAGTTCCAAACATGGAGAAGTTAGCACTACTAGAATTCAAGAGTTGTTGAATAAATATGGATCAGATGGTAGGAAAACAAAGGCTGAAGATAGCTGTGTATCAATGAAACTTCCCTTTCAAATGACTAGAGAACGCCAACAGTCAGACCCAGTGCCAAGTCTATCGATCTCACTTAATTCGGTCTGTTCTACATCATCTAATAGTTCCGTGTTACCTGCATCTTTTACGCCTGCTCCAAATGTTGCGTCTGTCAGAACTAGACCTCCTTTGTCTTATAGTGCTCGTATAACTCCGCGACCTAGAAAGATCAATTCTGTTACAAAGGTTTGTTGATTTGGAACAATACCCATGTAATACAGGGTGGCCCAGAAGTAACTGCCCACACGCAACCCTTCAATAACTCACATAATTCCTCTTAAAATTGCAAAAAAAATTGTTTTACTACAGTTGGTGTGGCACGCCAATCCCTCTTTTTCACTGATATCACTGATTAAGTGCTGGATCACGTATCTGCAAGATCTAAAAAGGGTCATAACTCGGTTAAATTGTGAACAACCAACTTGAAATTTTGGGAAAGCACTTCAATTATCAAACCAAATGTGTCTAGTAGAAACTTTGAAGTTCCTCTGCTGAAATCGTTCTCACTTTATGGTGAAAATAGTGAAAAAGAGGGAGTGGCGTGCCACACCCACTGTAATTAATTAAATATGACAGTGGGTATAATCTCTGAAATTTCTGTGCAATTCTAAGAAGAATTACGTGAGTTATTAAAGGGTTGCGTGTGGGCAGTTACTTCTGGGCCACCCTGCACCTGTATAATCTTATTAACCAAATTCAGTAGTAGTATTATTATAAGTGTTATGACAATTTCTGAGTATAAAAATGTCTATACTATGTATCACAGATTGTTGAATTTCAGATCAAGTTTTTCGAAAAAGGTGTGCAGGCTAATCTGATGAAAGGAGAAAATGATGAAAATACTCCACCAAGTAAAGTATTAGTTTTTGTTTCACCGACCTCTTTAAAAAAATCGACATCCTGAAAAAATTGAGAAGATGGCCATCCTTGAAAATCTTCTTGAAATATTCTTGATGATTATCTTGTTTCACTTTAGGTAATCAAGCTGCTTACAATGCACTGAAGAAACAGGCTCAAGAAATGGAAGCACGATTAAAGAAAGAAAACGAATATTTGGTGGTTTGTAATGAAACTTGTTTAATTTGCTTTTGTTAAGTTGAGAACTGATATTTACTTTTATTGAAGAAGCGACTGATGAGTGTAGATACTCCTATAATTATATAAAGTAAGAATGGATATGTTACATCCTAGTTAAGTTGATTAATTTTGATAACTTACCTACAGGCACAAGTTAAAAAGATGCAAGAACAAGCAAGCTTGAAAGCAGCATTCTCTCCCGATGGACAACTAAACGATTTGAAAAATAAAATACATGAGCTCGAAAAAGAGAACAAATATCTTGCGGTAAGTTTAGGATAAATATCTGAAAAGTTGTGGTTTTGTTTGCTGATAGTTAACTTGGCGATGTTTTAGATTTAGCCAAGGTAAAAGATGAAAATCTTTTATTCGTAGTGATGCACGATTAATTATCTTAATATTATCCCAGAATCAAGTTAAGAAGATGCAAGAAGCGGCCAGTTTGAAGTCTGTATTCCCTGCAAAGGAGCACTATAGCGGAGCTATGGCACCAGTCACTATTGCTGGCAACGAGTTCGATGTGTGGAAGGTAGCTAACTTCTTAGATTTCAGTAAATATGATGGAATTAAAGTGTGTACCTGTAGATCTGTAGTCTGGAAATTTATTAGTTGCTATTTTTGAAGACAGAATATTATTCATAATATATACGTAACACAATATTACATTTGTAATCTACATTTTATTAGAGACAAATTATTTTTAGAAGGAGATAGGAAAAGGAGCCTCCTGTATGGTTTACAAAGGTGTAGATAGATCACGTGACGTCATGGTGGCAATTAAAGTGGTGAGCCTGCAAAAGCTCAATCCTCAGAGTAATGACGAGATGAGGCGGGAGATCGAACTTTTACAAAACCTGAAAAACGAGGACTGTATTATTAATCTCTTTTATCACGAGGTGAGGACTGTATTATTAATCTCTTTTATCACGAGGTGAGGACTGTATTATTAATCTCTTTTATCACGAGGTGAGGACTGTATTATTAATCTCTTTTATCACGAGGTGAAGAATTCTATTTTATAATGAATATTTTATTACTTTGTATAATGTATACATTAGTACTGTATGTACTACATGTATAATATATACATTTGTACTGTATGTACTACAAGTATGGTGCTACGGTACTGAATTAGCTGCCCCACGAAAAGAACAGGATTCTTATTATAGCTTTACAGGAGCATTCTGCAACATATGAGAAGCACCATTTCATTGAATATTTCATTGAATATTTATTCGTGTTGCAAAATTTTATAATTTAACAGAATTAAATATCGGTATTATATTTTTACACACGGTGAGTTTCCTTAGATTTTATCATCGTGTCGATGAAGCATATCATTCTTAGTAATTCTTATTTGAGGCATAATAAAGTACAAGCTAACAATATCTGTATCCCAGTTTAGAGTAGAGCGCTGTCGTCTGAGTATGGTACAAGCTAACAATATCTGTATCCCAGTTTAGAGTAGAGCGCTGTCGTCTGAGTATGGTACAAGCTAACAATATCTGTATCCTAGTTTAGAGTAGAGCACTGTCGTCTGAGTATGGTACAAGCTAACAATATCTGTATCCCAGTTTAGAGTAGAGCGCTGTCGTCTGAGTATGGTACAAGCTAACAATATCTGTATCCCAGTTTAGAGTAGAACGCTGTCGTCTGAGTATGGTACATTGTACAAGCTAACAATATCTGTAGATCCCAGTTTAGAGTAGAGCACTGTCGTCTGAGTATGGTACAAGCTAACAATATCTGTATCCCAGTTTAGAGTAGAGCGCTGTCGTCTGAGTATGGTACAAGCTAACAATATCTGTATCCTAGTTTAGAGTAGAGCACTGTCGTCTGAGTATGGTACAAGCTAACAATATCTGTATCCCAGTTTAGAGTAGAGCGCTGTCGTCTGAGTATGGTACAAGCTAACAATATCTGTATCCCAGTTTAGAGTAGAGCGCTGTCGTCTGAGTATGGTACAAGCTAACAATATCTGTATCCCAGTTTAGAGAAGAGCACTGTCGTCTGAGTATGGTACAAGCTAACAATATCTGTATCCCAGTTTAGAGTAGAGCGCTGTCGTCTGAGTATGGTACAAGCTAACAATATCTGTATCCCAGTTTAGAGTAGAACACTGTCGTCTGAGTATGGTACAAGCTAACAATATCTGTATCCCAGTTTAGAGTAGAGCGCTGTCGTCTGAGTATGGTACATTGTACAAGCTAACAATATCTGTAGATCCCAGTTTAGAGTAGAGCACTGTCGTCTGAGTATGGTACAAGCTAACAATATCTGTATCCCAGTTTAGAGTAGAGCGCTGTCGTCTGAGTATGGTACAAGCTAACAATATCTGTATCCCAGTTTAGAGTAGAGCGCTGTCGTCTGAGTATGGTACAAGCTAACAATATCTGTATCCCAGTTTAGAGTAGAGCGCTGTCGTCTGAGTATGGTACAAGCTAACAATATCTGTATCCCAGTTTAGAGTAGAACACTGTCGTCTGAGTATGGTACAAGCTAACAATATAATCTGTATCCCAGTTTAGAGTAGAGCGCTGTCGTCTGAGTATGGTACATTGTACAAGCTAACAATATCTGTAGATCCCAGTTTAGAGTAGAGCACTGTCGTCTGAGTATGGTACAAGCTAACAATATCTGTATCCCAGTTTAGAGTAGAGCGCTGTCGTCTGAGTATGGTACAAGCTAACAATATCTGTATCCCAGTTTAGAGTAGAGCGCTGTCGTCTGAGTATGGTACAAGCTAACAATATCTGTATCCCAGTTTAGAGTAGAGCGCTGTCGTCTGAGTATGGTACAAGCTAACAATATCTGTATCCTAGTTTAGAGTAGAGCACTGTCGTCTGAGTATGGTACAAGCTAACAATATCTGTATCCCAGTTTAGAGTAGAGCGCTGTCGTCTGAGTATGGTACAAGCTAACAATATCTGTATCCCAGTTTAGAGTAGAGCGCTGTCGTCTGAGTATGGTACAAGCTAACAATATCTGTATCCCAGTTTAGAGAAGAGCACTGTCGTCTGACTATGGTACAAGCTAACAATATCTGTATCCCAGTTTAGAGTAGAGCGCTGTCGTCTGAGTATGGTACAAGCTAACAATATCTGTATCCCAGTTTAGAGTAGAACACTGTCGTCTGAGTATGGTACAAGCTAACAATATCTGTATCCCAGTTTAGAGTAGAGCGCTGTCGTCTGAGTATGGTACAAGCTAACAATATCTGTATCCCAGTTTAGAGTAGAGCACTGTCGTCTGAGTATGGTACAAGCTAACAATATCTGTATCCCAGTTTAGAGTAGAGCGCTGTCGTCTGAGTATGGTACAAGCTAACAATATCTGTATCCCAGTTTAGAGTAGAGCGCTGTCGTCTGAGTATGGTACAAGCTAACAATATCTGTATCCCAGTTTAGAGAAGAGCACTGTCGTCTGAGTATGGTACAAGCTAACAATATCTGTATCCCAGTTTAGAGTAGAGCGCTGTCGTCTGAGTATGGTACAAGCTAACAATATCTGTATCCCAGTTTAGAGTAGAACACTGTCGTCTGAGTATGGTACAAGCTAACAATATCTGTATCCCAGTTTAGAGTAGAGCGCTGTCGTCTGAGTATGGTACATTGTACAAGCTAACAATATCTGTAGATCCCAGTTTAGAGTAGAGCACTGTCGTCTGAGTATGGTACAAGCTAACAATATCTGTATCCCAGTTTAGAGTAGAGCGCTGTCGTCTGAGTATGGTACAAGCTAACAATATCTGTATCCCAGTTTAGAGTAGAGCGCTGTCGTCTGAGTATGGTACAAGCTAACAATATCTGTATCCCAGTTTAGAGTAGAGCGCTGTCGTCTGAGTATGGTACAAGCTAACAATATCTGTATCCTAGTTTAGAGTAGAGCACTGTCGTCTGAGTATGGTACAAGCTAACAATATCTGTATCCCAGTTTAGAGTAGAGCGCTGTCGTCTGAGTATGGTACAAGCTAACAATATCTGTATCCCAGTTTAGAGTAGAGCGCTGTCGTCTGAGTATGGTACAAGCTAACAATATCTGTATCCCAGTTTAGAGTAGAGCGCTGTCGTCTGAGTATGGTACAAGCTAACAATATCTGTATCCCAGTTTAGAGTAGAGCGCTGTCGTCTGAGTATGGTACAAGCTAACAATATCTGTATCCCAGTTTAGAGTAGAGCGCTGTCGTCTGAGTATGGTACAAGCTAACAATATCTGTATCCCAGTTTAGAGTAGAACACTGTCGTCTGAGTATGGTACAAGCTAACAATATCTGTATCCCAGTTTAGAGTAGAGCGCTGTCGTCTGAGTATGGTACAAGCTAACAATATCTGTATCCCAGTTTAGAGTAGAGCGCTGTCGTCTGAGTATGGTACAAGCTAACAATATCTGTATCCTAGTTTAGAGTAGAGCGCTGTCGTCTGAGTATGGTACAAGCTAACAATATCTGTATCCCAGTTTAGAGTAGAGCGCTGTCGTCTGAGTATGGTACAAGCTAACAATATCTGTATCCCAGTTTAGAGTAGAGCCGCTGTCGTCTGAGTATGGTACAAGCTAACAATATCTGTATCCCAGTTTAGAGTAGAGCGCTGTCGTCTGAGTATGGTACAAGCTAACAATATCTGTATCCCAGTTTAGAGTAGAGCGCTGTCGTCTGAGTATGGTACAAGCTAACAATATCTGTATCCCAGTTTAGAGTAGAGCGCTGTCGTCTGAGTATGGTACAAGCTAACAATATCTGTATCCCAGTTTAGAGTAGAGCGCTGTCGTCTGAGTATGGTACAAGCTAACAATATCTGTATCCCAGTTTAGAGTAGAGCGCTGTCGTCTGAGTATGGTACAAGCTAACAATATCTGTATCCCAGTTTAGAGTAGAGCGCTGTCGTCTGAGTATGGTACAAGCTAACAATATCTGTATCCCAGTTTAGAGTAGAGCGCTGTCGTCTGAGTATGGTACAAGCTAACAATATCTGTATCCCAGTTTAGAGTAGAGCGCTGTCGTCTGAGTATGGTACAAGCTAACAATATCTGTATCCCAGTTTAGAGTAGAGCGCTGTCGTCTGAGTATGGTACAAGCTAACAATATCTGTATCCCAGTTTAGAGTAGAGCGCTGTCGTCTGAGTATGGTACAAGCTAACAATATCTGTATCCCAGTTTAGAGTAGAGCGCTGTCGTCTGAGTATGGTACAAGCTAACAATATCTGTATCCCAGTTTAGAGTAGAGCGCTGTCGTCTGAGTATGGTACAAGCTAACAATATCTGTATCCCAGTTTAGAGTAGAGCGCTGTCGTCTGAGTATGGTACAAGCTAACAATATCTGTATCCCAGTTTAGAGTAGAGCGCTGTCGTCTGAGTATGGTACAAGCTAACAATATCTGTATCCCAGTTTAGAGTAGAGCGCTGTCGTCTGAGTATGGTACAAGCTAACAATATCTGTATCCCAGTTTAGAGTAGAGCACTGTCGTCTGAGTATGGTACAAGCTAACAATATCTGTATCCCAGTTTAGAGTAGAGCGCTGTCGTCTGAGTATGGTACAAGCTAACAATATCTGTATCCCAGTTTAGAGTAGAGCGCTGTCGTCTGAGTATGGTACAAGCTAACAATATCTGTATCCCAGTTTAGAGTAGAGCGCTGTCGTCTGAGTATGGTACAAGCTAACAATATCTGTATCCCAGTTTAGAGTAGAACACTGTCGTCTGAGTATGGTACAAGCTAACAATATCTGTATCCCAGTTTAGAGTAGAGCGCTGTCGTCTGAGTATGGTACAAGCTAACAATATCTGTATCCCAGTTTAGAGTAGAGCGCTGTCGTCTGAGTATGGTACAAGCTAACAATATCTGTATCCCAGTTTAGAGTAGAGCGCTGTCGTCTGAGTATGGTACAAGCTAACAATATC